TATATATGCGACCACTCTGAACACTAAATTGCTTAAAATAAGAATTGCTAGCAGACAATTTGAAAGTTGGTAGACTTATGGCCTCAAAAATTTATGGAGGAGTTATTAATCTTCTAATATGATGAATTTCTTGATTAATGAAAATGATGCTGAATTATATTAACTCTGATAGTGCAACAATTAATACTATAAACAATGTGACTTTACTTCAGGAAGGAAGGACAATATGACACATCCTCATCTTCAGGCGCTGACATCAACATTGGACGATGACATCAACGTTGGACGTTGATATAACATTTTTACATTATTTTATACTTTGATAGAATTTAACATTACAGGTTATATATTTTTGACTTTGGACTGATTAAACGGAGTGATTTTCATTTAGAATGCGGGACGCATTCTTTGGAGGAGAAGCAAATGTGACGGAGTGATTTTCATGTTGTATTTTATAATTAATATCTTATACTTTTACTTTGTTTTTACTTTGTAAATTAATTAATGGAAACATGATACAAAAAGCATTTAGATAAACAACAGGTCATGTAGTACACCTGGGATATCTCTGGTCAGTTTCTCACATTAAATATGCAATCATTACAATTGTTCAGAGCATCTTCAGACTTACAAATGTTTCTTTAATTTACATTTAATTTACATTTCTATATCTTGGATTCTAATTAGGATTTGAAGCAGTCTTCCTATTGTTAAACTTTTTACATAACAGATTTGAAGTGATCATGTGATGTCTGGTTTTGAAGAATATACTATATGCCATGTGAGATTTGGGTCACTTTCGGCCTAGACTTCAAAAAGACATAACTAGATTTAGCAGTAGATTAGAAGTGAAAACAAGTGAAATAAATAAAAGATAGAAATTAAAACATCACACTATTGTGTACATTTAATATAAAGAAAGCCCGGTCATATATGTATAGACCCTAGACCTCTGAATAAGGCTCTGAAACGTGAACACTATCAATTACCTGTGCTTGATGATGTGTCACACAAACTCTCAAAAGGCAAAAAGAAACTTATGAGTATTTTTGACTGCAAAAATGGATTTCATCACCTAGTACTTGATGAAGACTCTAGTGAACTGACAACATTTATGACTCCTTTTGGAAGATACAAGTGGCTCAGACTTCCATTTGGTTTGAATGTTTCTAGTGAAATCTTTCAAAAAAGACTCAATATGGCACTTGAAGGCCTAGAAGGTGTTATCTGTATAGCTGATGACATACTGATTTATGGTCAAGGTGAAACTGACGAAGATGCAAGTATTGACCATGACAAAAAACTGAAAATGTTCTTGCAAAGATGTCGGGAACAAAACATTGTCTTGAATAAACTCAAAATGAAACTTAGACAAACTGAGGTCAAGTTTATGGGTCATCTTTTGACAGCTGATGGTTTAAAGGCGGATCCTGAAAAGATAAAGGCTGTGATTGACATGCCTAGACCAACTGATGTAACTGGAGTACAAAGAATTAATGGCTTTGTGCAATACCTGGCAAAGTTTCTCCCAGGTATATCTGATGTACTTGAACCGATCAGACAATTGACTAAGAAAGATATAAGCTGGTACTGGGGACCATCTCAAGAAACTGCTTTCACTAAAATGAAGAAAATGGTCACAAACACTCCAATCTTACAATACTATGATCCGACAAAAGAACTGACTATACAATGTGATGCAAGTCAAACTGGACTTGGCGCATGTCCTCTGCAAAATGGACAACCAATTGCTTATGCAAGTAGAGCATTAACAGACACTGAAACTCGATATGCTCAAATAGAAAAAGAACTTCTGGCAGTATGTTGGTCTGTGGAAAAATGGCACCACATGACTTATGGACGTAAAGTAGTCGTACATACAGACCATAAACCTTTAGAAAGCATACTGAAAAAACCACTAGATCAAGCTCCTAAAAGACTTCAGCAAATGATGATGAGATTGCAAAGATATGACATTGAAGTTAAATACCAACCTGGTAAACTCATGTATTTGGCTGATACTCTTTCTCGAGCTTATCTCAAGTCTGACAGTTCTTCTGACAAAACTGAAAGAGTAAACATGGCATCTTACCTGCCTATTACTTCAAAAAGACTTGATGACATAAGACTGAAGACAGAAAATGACGAAACTCTCCAAGAACTAAAAAAGGTCATTCTGAATGGCTGGCCTAATGAAAAAATTCACTTACATAGTCTTGTTCATCCCTATTTCAACATGAGAGATGAGTTATCTGTTCAAGATGGTCTTATCTTTCGTGGTGAACGAGTTATCATTCCTGAAAAACTCAGACCTCTAATGAAAGAAAAAATACACTCTTCACACTTGGGAATAAATGGTTGCCAAAGACGTGCTAGAGAATGTATATACTGGCCCAGCATGCAATCTGAAATCAAGCAATTTGTCTCTGAATGCTCTATCTGTAGAGAATTTGAAACATCACAGACAAATGAAAAGCTGATGAGCCATGATATACCTGATCGACCTTGGCAAGATGTGGGCACTGATTTGTTCGAATTTGAAAACAAAGAATATTTAGTGACAGTTGACTACTTCAGTAGCTTTTTTGAACTTGACTATATACCTGACATGAAGTCATCTACAGTGATCAGAAAGCTAAAAGCAAACTTTTCCAGACATGGCATACCTGATAAGGTAATTAGTGACAATGCAGGACAATTCATCTCAGATGAATTTAGACAATTTTCTCATGAATGGGATTTTGATCATTTTACTATTTCTCCACATAACAGTAAGGCTAATGGGAAAGTCGAATCAGCCGTGAAAATTGCTAAAAAACTGTTGAGAAAATGTAAGAAGTCAAAATCTGACATATACCTAGCTCTTCTGGACTATAGAAACACACCTACTCAGGACATGGACAGTAGCCCCTCACAAAGGCTCATGAACAGGCGAACTAAAACGTTGTTACCTACTTCCAATAGTCTACTGATGTCAAGAGGTTTTAACAAAATTGACAGAGAAAAATTGAAAAATAAACAAGAAAGACAACAAAAATATTTCAATAGAAACACCAAAGATTTGAAGCCTCTTGAAGAAGGTCAGACAGTTAGAATGAAACCTTTCAAATTAGGTGACAAAAGTTGGAAAAAGGCAACTATTCATAGAAGATTAGATGAAAGATCTTATGAGGTTGAAACTGACAAAGGTGACTTATTGAGACGGAATAGAGTTCATCTGCGATATTCCTCAGAGAAACCAACCCCTCCCATTTCAAATTCCAATTCATCATGCCCTGAACCAAAACCTGTCCAATTATCTCCAACTAAAATCTCTTCTCCAACTCCAATAAAATCCAAACAAGCAACACCAAAGATCTATCAAGAAAGTAATAGGGAAACGCCTAACTTTAGCAATAGCCCTACTGTGAAAACACCTGTGAAAAGCAGACCTAGTAGAGATAAAAAACCACCCAATTATTTGGCTGATTATGATACAAAGTTCTCAAAGTAATATGATACTAAAGTGATATGAACTGATTTATATGATGACTACTGCTATGGAAAAGGACTATGAGAATAAACATTATAATCGCTTATAATCAATTGCATAGTGCATGAAATTATTATCTGAACTCTGGAAAATAGCAACAACTTCTAAGAACATTAATTTGTGAAAATTCTTAGTTACACCCAAAATTCTTGAGTTCATACATGAAGCAGCTAAAAATTACTTTTAGAGGAACACTTCTTTATATTCCAATGTTAAAGCTTGAAAACAATGAAGCCATACATGTATTTGGTTTATAGCAAGATTCAAGGACATTATATATCATGTTTAATTGACAGCTTGTTTATGCTTCCTTGCAAATGCTGATAACTGAGTTCTGGTACCAGGAATATGTCACATTAATCAACCTACTTAGATGGTGTGGTCACCAGATGTTTTAATTAACTATCCTAGTAAACCTTTAACCATGACCTTAAATAATTAATTGAAACCGAGAACTTAAATCAGGTCACCTATATTTTCTAATTAAGGGATTATCTCAAACTTTCAGAAAAGGAAGGATGTTTCATATTGTATTGTACTTGTGATACAACCCCTCTTAAAACATATCCTATGTCACGTGATAGTATAGTTTGTTATTAGATTGTATTACATACACACCCTTCACTTGTATGCTTGTAAGCTACCAATAAACAGCTCTTATTAGAAATAGATATTACAACAACTATATGACTCGACTCTTGTTTCATATGTAGTAATATTATGTAACAATATGGTTTCATTAAGATTCGGGTTCTAACCTTTAGAAGGTAAGTCAGACTCCCAAACGTCAGCTAACTCTTATATTTAGCATGTTAGCGACGAAGTCAGGCCTTGAAAAAAGTAGTACTGTAGGATATACACCAAGGCAAATCATCCCACATGGGACACCAGTGTAACCACCCAAGGGCGCCTATGGAGAGCTGTAGTGTAACAAGCCAGATACAGACATGAAAGTCTATGTCAATAATTTGCAAAAGACTGATAAGCCCATTTTAAGCAAAGCGTATGCTCAATTTAATGCCCTGTGCATTAATCAAACCAAGGACCTTCCAGTAGAGTCTGATGCTCTTCCCATGAGCCATCAAGACTTTTAAGTCGACACAGCTGAACTATAATAGGAACTTGCTATCCAGGGCCGTTACAATCTATACAATTTCAGATTTGAAATCATTCAGAGGTGCTGAATTGGAAAAGTCTCTAATCTAATAATTACCAATTCATTTTCTTACATGTATATGTGACAATGGGTAGCCAGAATCTAACAGAACAGCACTTAATTGCATCTCATAGATTTTACATGTTATACCAGTGTTGATAGCTCAGTCGGTAGAGCATCATACTCTTAACTGGAAGGTCATGAATTGAGCACACTCCCCTTCAGGTCTGTATCTGGCTTGTTACAATATAGCTCCCCAAAGTCACTCTTGGGTTGTTACACCAGCAACATGTATATGACTCTTATTTGCAGCACAACCATTACATTGGATATACAACACTGACAAACTTGATGACCTTATTAGAGATGCTGAGGAGATCGAGTTTTGGGAGCCATCTGCAAACCCTTTCTATTGTATCCCAACAGGAAGCCAGAGTTGCTATGGAGATCAGGCATTTGTAATGCTGGAATCACTGGTGGCTTGCAAAGGTATATATATTTAGTATCTTGGTTGCTTATATTAGAATCTATTCTATTCTAGATAATAATCTTTCAATTTGAATGGTTCCATAATTTTTTAACACAAGGATTTTATTGATTAGATTTAAATCAGTACTATTGATGATGAGTTCTAGAATCAACTGCTATTTTAGATGTTAGATGTCTGTTAAGTCTTGGTCTTCTTTCGTTTTAAAAATACATGAACTGTAACTTTGTGGCACATGTGGTTATACAAGTATATTCAGTCATTCTGCTAAATGAAATTTAATTAATTTTGGAATAAACAGTAGAAAATTAATTTTGTGTTCGTATAAAAAAGAATTTATGATACTCAAGGGGTGTATACACTGGCAGGCGAAATGCTTGAAACGGCGGCGAAAAGGCTGATTGCTTGAATTGATTGAAATGAAAGTGAAAGTAGATTAGGCGAATTGATTGAAATGCTTGAAACGATTGAACTGATTGAAACAATTGTTCATATATAAACTCTCAAAAGTGTTGAAACATCATTGGGGGGACCATGGTATACACCATTATGAGATTGGCTTTATGCTTATATATTCAAAAGGGTGTATTTATGACATTAGTGGCATTGTTTATAACATTACTTTTTAACTGATTATTTACTGGATGTATGTATGTGCATTTAGGTTATAATGAAGAAGACCTGAAGCAAAGGATGTACAAGATGTTTGGTCCAGGCTCTCAGTATGATAACCCAATAGTTGACCAGTACACATGGAAGGCAGGTATGCAGATTAAGTATACATACCACTACTAATATCTAGTATATTATTAAATACATTTACTGAAGGCCTACATGTATTATTAAGTGTCTTTCTGGAATTCATTTCTATTTTTCCCTCCGTTACAATTTGTCACTACATGTATATTAAATATATATACATGACTAATGGATACAGATGGATTTGATAACTATCTTGTATGTTTAGATTTAAAGAAGGAGTACCCCTTAAAGACACCATGGAAACACTTCAGCATCAAACATTTCCTGAAATGCTACAAGGCTGGCAATCCAAAAACAGGTGTGCAAATCAACTATAACTGAAATAAGTAAAAGTTCATTTCAGTAATTTGAATGATATTTGATTCATTGAAATACATATACAAATACATGTATGTAGAAGATATTAAAAATGCTGGCTAGAAAAGGTTTATTTATGTAATTTACATTGTGACCTTAAAGGAATTCTAGGCGATAAAAATAACAAAATATTGCTTCTGGGACAAGGTCAAACAACTTTTACATATTCTTTACCCTACCTATTTTGTAATTTAACAATCAACACAAGTATACATACCATATTTCAGCAGATATCGAAAAAAATCAAAAATATATTTTTTGATCGATAAAATCATGGATTATAAAACTGTGTGTTTTCTCTGAAGTCCGTGTGGACACACACCCTAAATGCACTTCTCTTTTGCAGGCCTGGAGACTGATGAGCAAATAGACTGTTGTGCAAAGATAGCCCCCTTAGTGGCATGGTATGCTGGGGACCAAGAAATGCTAGAAAGAGTGGAGGATTTTGTAAGGGTCACTCAGGACTCTGACCTTGATGTGGCCCTTGCTCTCGCATATGCAAGGTATATTTAAAGATTTTATCAACATTTATTCCAATTTTTTCAGTTCAGTTCATTCCATTCATTATGTACACTTAGATTAGTAAAGTGGAACACCTGGATAAGTGGAAATCTTTTTTAAGTCCCATTACCCATGAACTTAAAAATTAATTCTGTACTGTAAGTTGATTGCCTCTGAAGAGAAATATTATTTTGAGATATCAAAGGTGTTCCACTTTCACAGTTTCCACTGTAGGTGCACATGTATTTATGTGAAGCTGAGTTTTTGGTACAGAATTTCCACTCCTTTTAATTTAAAGGTAATGCAGTAAAACCTGTTTAGAGCTGCACATCGCTCTAGAACACAATCTTGGGTTGTTCAAGGGCCAACTGTAAGATTTTTAGTTTTAATGAAAGTATATACAATGGTGAACAAATGGGGCAAATCTTGTTTACAAATACTCACGATAAATGTGTCATTATGAAGATTGCTCTTTGAATTGCTTTGATTGTCGCAGACAATATTATTTTTGGAAAGTTTCTAAATGTGACATCACTACAGAATTAGAACGTTCAATATTAGTAGCATAAATTATCCTCTTAGTTTCATAGGTTGATGTTGGTCTTGTGGTAGAATGCTCGCCGTGGGCACCCGGGAATTTATTTATGTTTTTTAACTTAATGATTGTGCTTTGATATTACGCAGAAAAACAGTTTTTAATCATGTCAAACACTATACTTAGCTTTAGTAATCTTGTTGACTGTATGGAAATATGAAAATAATGTATGTCGAAATATTGCTTTTTAGAGTGATGTGCGGGTGTAAGTGGAACACCGTCGGAACCTCTACAAAGTGTTTTACTTGGGAGGTGTTCCACTTATAAAGGTTCACTTAACATTAAGTTAGTTGGCTGGTACTCTGAAAAATGTTACACCAACAGAAGTGTTCCACTTGTAGAGGTGTTCCAATTTACAGGTTTCACTGACAGTACAAGTAACATAATTTTTTGCAGGATACTGGAGAAGTACATTCTCGATGGTCCAGTTGATGATGTCATAGAGCATGTCATCAGAGAGCTGAACAATCCAAAGCGTAACTACCCACAAGATTTAGACAAGGGGGTGGTAAATTTCTTGCGCCAAGTTCTCAATGTTAAAGACAGAGACCATTTGGAAGTGGCAAGGAAGGAATTTAGAAATGACTGAGGTTAGTTTTGATTTTAAACCTTTGATTTTGTATAAAATATGGCATACATTAGACAATGCTGATGTAAAACATTTTAAAACCCCTCTTTTATTTTCTTGTTTAAAGTAGATGGTTAAAGGATGTTTTAGTTACTTAGTAACAATCTTCAAATAAATACGAGGGGTATCATTAATTATTGAGAAAAGTACCATAACTTTTTAAGATTTGCTTTAATTGCATTGATATTTTTACCAAATAAAATCTATGCTCGTATATCAATATCTTTATTAATCTTATTACTTGACTACTGGATCTGTGTTCTAGTGTTGCCGGGGAGTTTTCAGTCAGCACTACATGGTGTCATCACAAGCCAGGATTTGATTGGTGGTGTGAGGCAGACCATACGGGTGGGTGGCTGTAACTCTTCCCGGAGCTCTATCATAGGTGCATGTATGGGGGCCAAGGTATGTAGCTATTAGTTGTCACAAAATTGAAAAAATCCCCAGTAATAGGAAATTGAGCTTTATAATGTCTCTTTAGTTGAGTATAGAAAATAAACTCATGTATCTCATATTTAAATTGATTTAGGATACATTACATCTGGAAATATTTAAATTTAAATTATCTCTTGAGTTGATTGAGATCAGGAAATAAACTTATTATTATTAACAAAATATTTTTCTATTATATTCCAGTTTGGGATGGAGGCTATTCCAGAAACTTGGAAGAAGAGAACATTGAGACTTCAACAATTAGAGAATTTAACACAAGAAATGTAGATGCAATAGTGAATTAACTGACAATCAGCAATAGAAAAATACACAGCATAGAATATGAGCCTGCTCTAAAGGGGGAAACCAGGGTGAAAAAATATACAATGCCATTACAGCTGAAACTTTTAGTGAACTTAAAAAAAGCACACAATTACCATGTGTTTTAGTCAAGTAATGAAAGCAACATAGTTAACACATATATTCATATTATGTTTTATTCTTATTATTGCAAAGCAAATGTAAAGTTAAATTGGTGAATTGTATGATGAAAGTTGATTTAAAGTTTCAAATATTAAAAAAAATTATCCTTGCAGGTATTAACATCATTTGTGTATAGATCATTGATCAGAGGCAAATGCTCAATAAAAACAAAAAAAACAGGGTAAAGCCAAACTTCACTTACTTGGCTTATTTTGCCCATATACTAAAACTTGGCTAATTTTGCCCACATACTAAAACTTGGCTAATTTTGCCAATATACTAAAACTTGGCTAATTTTGCCCATATACTAAAACTTAGCTTATTTTGCCCATATACTAAAATGTGGCTTATTTTGCCGATATAATCGAACTATTTTGCTTATACACTCAAACTATATTAGTTCTGGTATACTAAAACTTTGTATTGAAAAGTTATCCAAGAAATATTGTGCATATCCTACTATATGGTGAAATGGAATATAAGAAATGATGTTTTGCATTTTATGAAGGCTTTATTTTAAACATGTAAATGTAAGTAACAGCTGGATGGTTTTATGTTGGGAACTTATTTCTTGTATTCTACTCATATATTTTAGGGTCAACTTCATTTCAGTTGAGTAGTATCTTATGTCTTTACTCAGTTGAAACAAACATGCATGTTAGCTTAGAATTCCTTGAAAAGTTTTATCAGTATATTGTTTGTATTTGATCCCAGTGTCTTATTTTTTACATTTATTTATACTTTGTCAGTAAAATACTTTAATGATTTATGAAATTTACTTTTACTTGATGAATGTACTTTAAGAGATAGAAAATGGTAAACTGAGTACATTATATGTATTGAATGCCAGTATCATGTTTTAAAGATATATTTATACTATGTGTGCATGTCTTGGATAGTTCTATAGATTTATGAATTTTATTTTTACATGATAAAAGTACTGCTGGTCGCTCCACAAACTGAGGAGATACGTGGAAAGAGAAAATAATGAGATATATTCAAATCATTTATATACATGTTGTCAGGGTAAATGAAATTCATCTTTGTGATAAACTTTTGTTGATAAAATACTATGCATTCCTAATTTCCTTTGTTCAAGGAATTTCACACGAGAATCAGAGAAATTAGATTTAGGAGTGTTGTAGCAAAACCTATAATACAAGCAGTTAAATAAGTGTATGTATACAATGATTTATAAAAATCAAAATTCAGTGATTAATATACCAAATATATTCCTTGCATAGTTATTATAGTTGTTTTTCTTGATTTAATATAGTACATGTATATGAGAAATGAACCTGCTCCCGATGTAAAAATAGCAAATGGTGCAAACTACTTGACAGTGCTTTGACGCAAATGTTATCGATCATTTTTTTTTGATAAACACCATCTGTGTTCAAAGACCATATTAAATCTGAATAAGTGTTATGAGTCAAAATTGAATGATGACGACATGCCAGGCCCAAAAAAAGATTTAACAAATTTATAATGTTATATCAATCGATCAAATAGATTGTAGTTTCTGGACCTGTGTAGTTCTTTTTACTCACCCTCCGTGCTAAAAATTAAGCTACAGGTTCCTCTCAAAAGTTTGGGTCTGTTCTCAAGTTCACATCAAAAGTAATTTAAAGTAACAATTTTTGGTCCTTTCCCTTTTGCATATGTGCATACATTTTCAACAGTGGGGTATCATCATTCACTGTCATAGTGTCGGACAGTGTCGGTACTGGGAAATCTCTTGGATTTCAGTGGGTCCAATGGTATTAAAATACACAAAATTATTGATCTTTTGTTTATATATTTTATATATTAAGCTACATGTAGATATATGTACACTATACATGGTTGAAAAATGAACTGTACAATGAAATATACAATTTCCATTGGGAAAATAATAATACTGTTACTACATAATTTTGCTAAAATTCTGTCAAACCTCAAAATTTAAATAATAAAGTTGGTTACTACAAAATAATTACATGGTTTCTATGATTGATTAAATATCACCAGATTTAATCCAAACGTTACATTACATTTTGTGCATTTATGTAATGGTATAAACAGTTATTTTCTTGCTTTGATAATATTAAATAGAATCAAGTTCAGTATCTGTAGTTTGAATATATTGGTAAATTAACAGCTTGTTGAATCTCCCTTGCATCACAATCTCGTACTCATTAATCATTACACAACAGCTTGTACAGCAGAATTGATCAACGAGAATGAATGTGTATTGTTCAGTTAAATTCATGGTTGCTCTGAAGGTGCATTTTTGTAGACAGCATGATATGCATTGCGTAGAAGTGCGTATGGGAAGCATGATTCCAATAAGTCCATAGTTAAAAATGGTGATTCTTGAACAATCTGCAAAAAAGTATTTCCATTTGAAAATTACACATACTTGTAACCATCTTCTAAACATATTTTAGAAATTCAAATGTTAATGTTAACTTAAAACTAACTCTTAATTGCTATAATTTTTTCTCACACAGTATTAAATATCAGATTTGGAATGTGAAAAAATATATCAGCATCTGGTCATCATACTTGAATATTTCCAAAACAACTTACCAGATCTAAGAGTAAATAGATGGAGTCTCTGTTCTTCAGAACCTGAACCTCTTTTTCATTGTTCTCCTGGCCGAGACGTAATAAACTTTGTGAAGTCAGCTAGAAATAATCGGATCAGAAATTAAAAAGGATTGATAATTGCAACCAATTGTATTGATAGACAGCTTCTTCACAGGCTCGAGGTAAAGGAAGCATGGCTGACCACACTGACTCTAAAATTGGCTCAGCCTCATTAAAATGTCTTTTTTCTATGGAACTTATGAATTTTCAATAGATTCAGGTTTCCTTCTTGTTTGTGAATACAAATTTACCCATCTCCCTAATAAAATTATTTCTTGAAAGAATGACATATTGGAACTTGACAACCGGGTCCTAATAATACACCACAATGGAATGTTTAACTTTTTAATCATATTAATACATAATCCATGCATGAAACTATTGAATGTACTTACAGCTAAGAACTCCTTTAGTCTTTCTTCTATATCCCCAGGGGCATATATTGTAAATAGAGCACCTGCTAGACTGTTGATTGCTTTGGCTAGACAGTGGATATTGTTCATGTGACCTACAAAAATATGTGATTTTCAAATAGAGTTCCATTCTTTTATCACCAAACTTCCAAATCTGATTAAATAGCATTCATTATAATATAGAAAAGAGTACAAGATTTAAATTTTTAAGGTGCAATAAAAACCACTTTTGCCATATCACTATTATATGATATTCAAAAAATAAGGTTGAGAGTGATACAATCCCAGCAAGACAATAAAATAATTTCCATAAGTTAACTCTAGCTTCCACACTGAGAAACAATTCATGCAAGACAAGTCTCTCGAATGAAACCCATCATTTATATTGTTCCTTTTATTTTACTTAAAACTACCTGTAACACCTACAGGTGATTGATTGCAAATATTTGTAGGAAATTACTCAATGGAAAAAAGCTAAAGTCAAATAAAACACACAGATGAAACAATAAGTATACACTAAATAGTTACTAATGCTGATCATTAAAAATTAATTTTTTTAATATAGGTGAATACCTAATCTTTTAATAGACAAAGACATACCTTCAAATGATGCTCTATATATTGCTAGATCATTCCTTGCCAGCTTCTGCATTGACACTGCTATGAACACCATCAATAGGCAGGCTGTGTTGTACTCATTTTCTCCAGTTTCTGGCAATGAACAACAACAAGGTATTAACATGTCAAATGTCACCACGTGATCAATACCGCAAATGGTTACAAAAGCGTAACAATTTGTAACAGACACTGAATGTCATTTTCTGAAACTGAATGCAACTCACAAGAACAGTGTCTTAAAGTAATAAGTCAATAAATAAGTAAGTCACCAGTTCTCAGTTATACTTATTCGTATATAAAACATTACAGAAATTATTAGGAATCTGGTAATTGCGTGATATCTGAAGGATGAGTTTAACATACCAGATTTCTGTGCACGTATTGCTCCACATAATGCAGGGTCCACACTACATGATAGTCCAGCTGCTGACGCCATCTCAGTGACAATCTTCAACAACAATGCTCAGATGTTAGATTTAAGGATCACCCTTTCTTTTATACACAAGGACTACAGCTAAGGATCTGATTGTGGCCAGTCAAAAGATTATTACAGACTTAAGTTGCAACTATACGTTGTTTTCCTATAACTGACGATGCCCAAAGGTAGGGGCCTTAGCCCAAGCCCTGTATACCATATATAAATGTAATGTCACACGACAGCTATTACTCAATATGAGGTATTCAATGGTTTTTAGAAAATGCAACATTGTTTGGTTAATCCATACCCTGTAATATTCCACGACCCTTGTTTTGCTAGCTAGTTGAATGCACTTTTTGAGGCTACATTCAACCAAGATCAAAGGTATGAGCTAAATATATTAAGTTATTAAACATTCAGAAAATCCACTTGATACATGCAATATGATAAACAAGACCAAACATCAGTTCTACAGAATACATGTACTGTAAAAATATAAATGTCCAAGATTTTGTAAGAATCAGGGCCCCATCTTAGGTTAGCTGTATTCATTGGTCATGGTAGAAATCACCCGCTGTTCTCTTAACATAATGCAGATAAATGGAGAGATGTGTGACATGTGTAATAATATCACTCATTAGCTATGCATTGCACTTTATAATATTGCAATTCAATGTTAATTTAATGGTAAATCAAAAATGAGTGTAATATTGAACATCATTTATTCATATTCTGCAATGTTACTTTGCTGTAAATGATGAATTGAGTACAGAATTCATACTAGATATACACATGACACAAATTATAATATACTGTATCAAAAAGCTATAATATATGGCATTGTAAACTAAATAAAACATATTTTCAGAAACATTTATAATGACTTTCAAACCAGTTATACAAATAAAAAACAATATAGCCCCAGAAGGGTGATTTAAAAATACATGTGACAAATGACTGTTGAGTTTTATTGACTACAACATAGCTAAAAGGCTGCTGTTATCCACAAGGCAAAGCTATAATCATATAAAATGGAGTTACGTTAATTAACGGGTAACTGTCAATATAAGGTTAGAAGCTGGTAACAAGGAGAAGGTTGATTTAAAGCAAGCAACACTTTTATTCACTATTTAAATAATTCAAGCCAGAAGTGAATAAAACATGATCAATGATTGGAAGAAAAAACCAATGAAACACCACACATTATGCTTTATATTATTAGCTGTAGCTTTCAAATCTATACACGTTTGATAAAATTAGAATATATTACCATTAAAGAAAACAGAAGGTTTTGATTTTTAAATTTTTTTTGTCTGTCAAATAGTTCAAGGACATTTTAGCAAGAAAGCAAGCGGACTAAATTCCCAATCTTAAGGTTTTTTGAAAATGGGATTGTGAAACACACGGGCATGTGTTTTTTGAGTGTATTGAATAGTAATGGTACATGAACATTTCCAAAGTATTTAAATTTACGAGACTGTCGGTATTCTGGAAAGACTAGATGCAATCCAGTAACTTCCAGTTAGCTAGACCAGATTTATGTCCTCCATTTTGAATGTAAATCTAATATAACGCTCACTTGCTATCCTTAAGGAATGTACAAACTATGTTTTTCACAAATCAGACACAAAGATATTCTACTCTTGATTCATTAATTTTTGCGCCTTTTGTTGGATTGCATCAGCCTTAGCCAGCGTAGTCTAAAAACTAAATAAAGCATAGAGGGATAGAGAGCGGTGGATTGAGGGAGTAAGACTTGGGTCAAACCTTGTCTTTCTTCTCTTGGACATCCTTGGGTAAATCCTAAAGACAAACATCATTTCAAGTGATATATCAACAAATCAAAACTTTAGCTAAATGTTAATACTGTAGCTACTGTTCTGCATAATGCATCTGGGTTTAGGTAAATTTAGTAGCTACACAAAATATCATCATTAGGTTGTAAGCAAATAAAAATAAATAATTCTCAAATGGACATTACCTCCAAATAAGTTTGGCAACCAGTGAAGTAGTTGAATTGAATAGCAATATCAAAGCTTGTTAATTTTGGAATCTTAGTTTTGTTCCTTGATGAATTGCTTAAAATTGCCAGTTACCAAACTTATGGAGGGGAGTGTATGTATGTAATTTAGCTTTGAGGGATGGGGTTGGCTCTATATCAATGAATCCTGCAAACAAATGGTAATAAGTCACACTAAACAGCAGATCACACAAAACATGCATGGCATATACCAAAAGTTCCACTCAAACAATGATCGAGTGATTTACGGTACAAAGTGTGTGAAGTGATATTGGAATTTAATATTTAAAGATCTGTGAAAAAACAGTAAGTGCCGAAAGTAGAATTTCAAATAGAAATGTAGAGTTGAGTAAAATGATGGCATTAATGCCCTAAAATGTTACAAGTGTTACATTGCCAATAATAACAACCAGAACAACGGCAACGCCAAAGCGTAGCGAATCCCATCGAACAGCCATGGATGGCATTTTTACAAACAAAGGATATAGCAAAAATGGCTGCCATTTTTCAAAATGGTCGCCTTCTACCAAAAGTGTCATTAGACCATGTGCCATGCTTATAGTATTCACATACCAAATATGAACAAAATCGCTCCACTACTTTTCAAGTTATAAAAATACATTAAAATGGCGGCCATTTTTCAAAATGGCTACCTTCTACCAAAAGTGCATTAGACAGTGTGCTGTGCTTATAGTATTCACATACCAAATATAAACAAAATCGCTCCACTACTTTTCGAGTTATAGTAAATTACGTTAAAATGGCGGCCATTTTGAAAAATGACCGCTTTCTACCAAAAGTGTAATTAGACAGTGTGCCATGCTTACAGTATTCACATACCAAATATGAACAAAATCGCTTCACTACTTTTCGAGTTATAGTAAAATACGTTAAAATGGTGGCCATTTTTCCAAATTTTTTTCAAAATGGCCGCCTTCTACCAAAAGTGTCATAGGACAGTGTGTCATGCTTATAGTATTCACATACCAAATATGAACAAAATCGCTCCACTACTTTTCGAGTTATAGTAAAATACATTAAAATGATGGCCATTTTGAAAAATGGCGGCCATTTTTCAGAATGGCCGCCTTCTACTAAAAGTGTCTTTAGACAGTGTGCAATGTTTATAGTATTCACATACCAAATATGAACAAAATCGCTCCACTATTTTTCGAGTTACAGCAAAAATCGTAAAATAACGAGTAACAAAATGGCCGCCTTCTACCAAAAGTGTCATGGGACAGTGTGTCATGCTTATAGTATTCACATACCAAATATGAACAAAATCGCTCCACTACTTTTAGAGTTATAGTAAAATACATTAAAATGACGGCCATTTTGAAAGATGGCGGCCATTTTTCAAAATGGCCACCTTCTACTAAAAGTGTCTTTAGACAGTGTGCAATGTTTATAGTATTCACATACCAAATATGAACAAAGTCGCTCCACTACTTTTCGAGTTACAGCAAAAATCGTAAAATAACGAGTAAAGACCGCCATTTTTCAAGATGGCTGCCATGTGCTTCTTTAGTATCTACATTTCTAGCTTTATTAATGTCCTATATACTTTTTTTACATCTAAAACATATTGCTATTACAGTTTTACATATTGCACCTAAATTACAGTAAATTCGGCACTAAAATGGCCGCCATTTTGAAATGAGCGGCCATTTTGAAAATCGGCTTTCGAGCAGAACTTCTACCCCCATAGGGTATATGTGTACAAAATATGAACAAAATCGGGCCAATGGTATTTGAGTTATTGCCCGGACGGACGGACGGACGGACGTACGTACGGACGGACGGACGTACGGACGGACGGACGGACGGACGGACGGACGGACGTACGTACGGACGGACGGACGGACGTACGTACGGACGGACGGACGGACGGAGGCGTTCCCTATATCCCTCCGAACTTCGTTCGATGGGATAATAAAAATGAAACTAATATGACAAAATTGTACAATGAAAAACTAATTGTAAATTGAAACAGTAATTGTAAAAAGTGCATTTCCACAAAGTTGATAATTGAACAAAAATCACCATTTGGGCCTTGAGCTGCATTTTAACAACACTCAGCTATGGGGAATAAAAATATTTACTATTATTCTTCATATCTAATTAAAATATCCTAAATGTTATATGTTAACAACAATAATTTTACATGAAACTATAATCACTAACTGCACAAACACATATCAATGGTACATCATTTGACATATTTAATGATAAATTGAAACCTATTTAACAAAATGAAATTCTACACATTGAACATTATATGAACAACATCACTCCTGGGGTTGTATGCAGTCAAACTAAATGAACAAACACACTTTGTACAAATCAATAGATAATGAACAATTCAAAGATAAATAAATTTGCCTCGTATCACTGTTAGGGCTCATTGAAGGGCATCAAACAGAGAAGAACTTGGGATTATTGATGCTACTAAATTGAATAGAGCTCAATTTTGGTTTACAACAATGGATGCTGCCCCAATCATGGAAAAGATAATATACAGATATACAATAAATCTTGCAAGATGAAGTGTCAGTTTGAGTTATCTGATTTTCTTCATTAAAGTGCATGATAAGAACCGAAAAACAAAACCAAACCGAAAAGATTAAAATGTGAACTGAACAAAAAAGAGAAATTATGAAACTGTTAGAGCTCTAATTATCGTATAATTTTTTGACTTTGGCTGAATAGATGTCCTAGAGGTGCATTTGCATCCATTGTAGTGCTAAGTAAAATATGTGTACATGTTTATGACTTTATTTCATTTATAATTTATTTTGAATAAGTTAAAATTCTTACTCTTTAAATAAGCACAATTTTAAATAATCTTAAAAAAGGGGATTTCTAATGATTTGTACAATTTCAAGTTATTAAAATCACATAAATTGTGAAATAACAGCAAAATAACTGCAACCATTCTCATACTGCATTCATACACAAAACCTTGACAATCAATAGAAAGCAGGGAACTGAAAACCTTTATGTACTAATAAGCAGATCTACAGGGTATCACTAAAAGGTGGGATGAATCTTAGTTTGTAAATCCCAGTTTATTCTCACAATCAATGACTTCATTTTAGTAGATTTGATAGAAAAATAGCTAAATGTATTCAAAAGATACATGTTCTAATTTTTGATTATATCCAATGGCCGACCCATGCATTTTAAAAAGGATGAAAATACATATTTAAATGGACACCCTGTAGAATACTTAGATAGGATTTTCAGTTTCATGCTATGTACAGGGTGAGCTTCCACTAATGTCCTCTAACCTGATGTTTAACATTGTTCATCTAAAATAAAATACAAGAACCATGTACCAGCTTTAAAGCTAAAGTCACCTTATCATATTTCTAAAGAGATCTACAGTGGTGAAGTAAAACTTGCAACATGTAAAATGAACTAAAAATATATGTTTGCAATCAATATGTAATAGAAGAGTTATAAATAAAGGAAAATATAGATTTATATACAAAACATTAGAAAAGATTTGACATAAAATTTAACTTTTAATACAAAGCAGTTGACTTAACCAAGAAATACACCAAGAATTCCAAAAAGTCTAATTGTACCATTAGATACACATTAAAGATGAAGAGACAGAAAAAGTCTAGTTTCAAAAATACAATGGGTGATATCTTACCATAGCATCGTGCCCACTGGGCACATGGTGTTGGAAGTCTCTAATAGAGCTCATTAAGAATGGAATCCTGTCATCAAGGACCTACAAGCAAAAAGGGCAAAGAGCATGTAAAACAAAGAGCAAATATTTCCTTGAAGGTTTCAAAGCCACTTAGAAACCAGACTGAATATACAATACAAAGGCATAAAAAACATTGCCACCAAATATAGTACATCTACAGGTAGTACATATTTGAGTTGAAACAATACAAATTATTTTTTTGTATAATTTGATCATTTGTTAGTGATTTTGCAGAGGAATTGATTTTAAAAGAGTACTAAAGAATTAAAGTACTGAGGTTAGGCTGACTATTCATACTTTCAGAAAATATGTCAATTTCTGTGAGAAATTCCGCAGAAATTGTTGCTTAAGACTAATGAATTAAAGAAAACGTCCTTTAGTATATCCATTCACTTTGCTCATTGGGATAACAAGGAAACAACATTTTTTGTTGTTGTGAACTGTCAATTTATTTTAAATAAAATTTTGGTTGTCACACCTATCTTTTGAAAACCAATAGTTTACACCAATGCTTGGCATGTCATCTTAAATCTTATACCACATAAATGCATGAGATATTACGATCCACAATCTATATAGTATACTTTATTTTTTTCTCCTCTCATACACTATAAATCAGATGGTCTTACAGGTTGTCTCAATATACATGCCCTCAATTCCTCACCTGTTGTAAGGCCTCTTGTGCTAGACCCCTAAAGGACAGTAGTACCCCAATAATCGTCAACCTCTGAAGTAACTTATCGACATCTGAAATACAATAAAGCATCATTATGTCTATGATTTATAGGGGTTGTCTGCTGTTTATGTAACTCTATGAATTATATAAAGTTTCTTACAGCAAGTTTAAGTTAAGGTATATTATGAATATAATACAATACATTGACTATGATTATTATTAGAAAAGCCATCACTTGTCCCTGTCTTATAATATATTATGTGCATCTGGTATAATATCTCAGCTCATGAAACCATCAGAGGCATTAAAATCAGAGTTAAGATTATTGACATGCTTGGCGCTTGCATCATAAAGTCAAGAAGTGAATAGGATGAGACATCAAATTGGCAACAACAACAGATGATTCTGTTCATTAAATCCTCCAAAAACTTTACATAAAAAAGATTTATAAACACTTCTCAATCTCAATTTAGGTCAAATTGCATATTGTTAAAATCTGGAGAGACCAATTGCTTCAATATCATGTTCTATTTGACTATTCTGACTCAAATTATTCAATATCTTATAGAGAACCATTAATTTTCAAATTAATTACATGAAAGACCAATGGTTCTTGAGGCCTGATCCTAGTTGAGATATAAAGTAAGAACAAATTGATTGTTTTTAAATCACTTATGATATCCTCCAAATTAAGTAAGCATTACAATATTGAACATACAGAATGTCACCACCTGTCATTTGTTACACTTGTTACAGATGCCGAACACCAACCACTTACTGCCATCACAAAAAAAGTTTGAGAATATAACAATATGTCAACACTGGTGGTGACATAAATGTACAGCGTTTGATGATTCTGTCTAGTGATCTTTGTTTCAACCTCGTAAGAAGATACATGTTGAGCCAATGGAGGATGAAACAATAACACATAAAGCTAGACTACAACACCAGAATATACAATGAACACTGAACATATAAAGTAATATGGAATCTAGTTTACATAAACAACAATTACAAACAACATCTCTTTATAGCACTGCTTACTTGGGTTCAATTTTGGTTCTGAATAAAAACAAAATTAAAAGTTTAAGTTTTATATTTGTAAAAAGTGAAATTCTATGAAATGGAATAAAGGTATGAACTAAAACATAACTCAAAATCATACTGGCAATCAGAATTCCAGTTCTATAATATCCTTAAAAATCTGTTACTTCACTTACCGCAAATACAATAATTTCACTTACCATAAATGTATCTATAATCTCACTTACTTTGTACAAAATCTATATTTGTAATATCGTTTTTGTTAAAATAGTTCAGTTTGCAAAATTATTACATCTAAAAAGTACATTTAGCATTACTTCAAAAGTCTTGTCATATGATTCAGTTTACTTACTTTCTAGTCTCTTATAGAGCTCTTTCATCTCTTCTGGGTTGTCAAAGTTTGTTCTTAACTGGGTCAGTGTGTCTTTGTTCTGGACTACAAGCCTCTGAAACATTGAATAATGAACAAGTAAAAGAAGTGATATGTTGATTACAAAAAGCTAAATTCTCCAAAAGGAAGACATTAACATGACAAAATGTCGCAACCTTGTAATTGCAAAATCACAGGCTGGTATCGAAATATTTGTTCGCTGTGACGGAGCATGCTATTTTTCTTAAAAACACTAAGAATACTTCACGATTTATTTTTTAACTCATATGAAAATGTCACAACCTTGCAAGTTATTGCAAAACCTTGCAAGTTATTGCAAAACCTTGCAAGTTATTGCTTTGTTACAGACCCTGAACTTGCAAAACAAAAGGAACTAAGACAAATGGAGTAAATACCAGTACCAATATAAAAAAAACAGCTCACATTTTTACCAATGAGGTATACTTGTCTGGTATTGGTCCTTACGTTTCTGAACATTATTTATTGATAATTATTTGTTATACACAAGTCAAATGATAAAAATTTGATTCTTCACAGTCACATTGAAAATGTTCACATTCTCAATGATTCACATTCTTAACAATTAATACATATTTGAAATCAATAATGTAATGGTGATGGCTCATTCATGTGGTACTTTAATGAAGTTAAACCATTTAATAAAGCTGATGAGTTGGTATAATACACAAGCAATGAAACTTAAAACAACTTGTGTACACAGAGAGATGTCAAAAATGCTAATTACGAAGTAATACATTAACTATGGTAATAATAATCCTTGTTGTTTGTTCTCTACTTGTTTAAACTTTCTGATATTATTAGTTACAATTTAGTTAATTTAAACATATCATCCTCAAACAAAGGGCTAAAAACCTGTTCCTCCTATAGACACTCTACTATACCTAACACCTAGAAATGCATAAGATACTTTGTTTGTCTAATTGAATTGTTTAATATATTTTTGAAAGTGCCTTACTAACATCTAACTTTTAACCGATAAACCATTCATAAGGAACAGACAAATAAAAACAAATACATAATCATTACTAATAAGCCAAATGAGTTGCTCATGAACACCAAATGCAAGGTATAGTAGAGTGATAGAATGATGAGAAACAACTTCATCAGCAACTTCTAGCAATAATTTCAACTTATTCAATGCCCTTTCTAATTTAATATCTCATTTTCAAGATATCTAAGATAAATAAAGTTTCACTCAATTACAATTATCATTCAGGTATCTCATCATATGATTTGGACATGTATATATTTGAATGTATTAATATAATCAATACTTTTAAATGGGCATTAAATAATCTTAAAGTAGTTATAATGTCAACTTGTACAATAAAAGTAATATATTTCATCATATTATTGGCAACATATGATCTTTATTACTTTGTTTACATCTAATTTCATTGATTCTAAGAAACTGAAGATTTTGAGGCTCTTTTGCATTAATACACCCCCAATTCACACTCTAAAATCATGGTACATTAAGAGTATGGTACCATATGGTACCGTTGGAGTATAGTGCCGTACAGTGTTCACGGTACAGTGTGGTACCACTTTAATCTACAGTGCTGTATGGTACCATATTTCACAGTACCGTATGGTACCATTTTAGTCTACGGTACCATATGGTACCATATTTAACGGTACCATACAGTACCATTTCCAAAACAGTACCACACAGTACTGTTGCAGATTGGCTGTGTATAAAAAGCAATTTTTTAAAACTTTTAGGGATGGTGCCCAATTATCAAGAGTTGTGGAAAAAGGAACTTAATTTTGTTATGGTTCAACCCCTCTACACTCATATAATGAAATTCTAAAAATATTTATCTGTCTTTCACACAAAACACCATTCACTAACAGAATTATAATTTACCCCCTCCCCCTAAGGAAACTACCTTTATTATTCTAATAAGTTTTATCTCATAATATTGTTTCATTTTTGTTTGCTATATCATCAGAGAAGGAACACTTTAAAATTTAATTAATTTAATACTTAATACAGTGTGTGTTTTTTCGAGACAATAGGCCTAATAGACTATAATAATAAAAGCCACAACTTGAAATGATGTCTAAGCTCAGAGACATGATTTAATGATGAATACAATATCAGTAGTAATGAAAATCCCTAACATAGCAACTTAGCAGCAGAAAACCATAAGTTTCTGACCAAGACACATCTTGAAAGAACCATGTATTCTAAAGTGCTACTAATGTTATTACTCATTGGGCTTGTCCATGTGGACAATGCTGAAGGAAAGAAAAAGAGAGGCAAGAAGCCATCTGGAAATAACATTGCTACTTGCAAGAAAACACATATTGACAACCTTGATACACATTTGAGCACACAGATTGATGAGTTAAAAACTGAAACACAGAATTGCTGCACCAAAAATGAGGAAAATGTTGAAGAAATTAAGAGTAATGTAACAAGGACCATTGAAAAGGTAAATAGTAGAGCTGAAGAAATACAAATTGATGTTGAGGAGATGAAAACAGATATGCAAAGACTCAATACAAAACTGAACAATTTCAAAACCGAGACACAAGATTCTGTCACCAAAAATAATATTGAAGTGAACAACAAGTTTGAAGAAGTGTTTAATAAGGTAGATGAAATAAAAGATGATGTCACTCTTATAAAGGATCACTTGGAAAGGATGCAGAACAATTCACAATGTGAAACAACAGGTTAAGTATTTAGTATTCAGATTAATTTTCAGTTCAAGCTCTAACTAGAAAACGGCAACTCCACGGAGTAGCAAATCCCAACGAACACTATATAAATCATGAATCTGTACTGCCACAATGTAAGCAGCACAATTCACAATGTGAAACAACAGGTTAAGTATTTAGTATTCAGATTAATTTTCAGTTCAAGCTCTAACTAGAAAACGGCAACTCCACGGAGTAGCAAATCCCAACGAACACTATATAAATCATGAATCTGTACTGCCACAATGTAAGCAGCCATTTTGAATTTTCTGAGGCACAAATCAGAAAAACAATACCATAATTGTGATCTACTCTGAAATTCCTTCAATTTGAGCATAATATAGCCATACTTTAAGAGATCAAAAAATAATTGCGAAATCCCACATTAGGCGGCCATTTTGAATTTTACAAGGCCCGAATCAGTAAAACGATACTATATTTGCAATGTACTCTAAATTGCATTCATTTGAGTATAATAAAACTATACTTCAAAAACATCTCAAAATTATTGCAAATTCCTGTTTTCCAAACCCCCCATTCACGGCACCTGAGGATCAGGGTGAAAAACACAGGATATATGTGAAATAGATAGATCTTGTGAACATACTACCAAAATTTCAAATAATAATATTTATTATTTTTGTTTAAAATGAAATCATAGACTTTTGCAAAATATTCCCGCCATTTTTAAACTGGTGGCCATCATGAAAAAATTTTTTTTCGTAAAACTATTCACCAATATACATCTTTCCACCAAATATGAAGAAAATCTGTCAGCTAGTATTCGAGTTATCTTCCAGACAGACGGACGGACTGACTGACAAACTGATGGACTGACGGACAGACGGGGGGCTTCACTATATCCCTACTGAACTTTGTTTGTTGGGATAATTAGAAATTCTTTAAGTATGACACAAGAAACTAAGGAGATGAGACAGATTGAGCTTTACAATTAATTTAGAAAATATAAGACAGTCACACTGATATTGCATACTAAAATTTCTATTTTCAGGTACCACCACAGAAACCACTGATCAGAGCACACATCCGCAGCCACTAAGCAACAGTACAACACCAAGTTCAGGTAACTTTGTTTTTTCCATACTGAAGACTGTTACCATAATGTCACCACCAAAATGCCTATATCTACTTTAAGCAGTAGGGCTGAAAATTCAACTGCGATGCATTAACTGTGAAATATCGTAACTTGTCCAAAAATTGAAATTATACATTATGGGACTTTCTAACAAAGATATATATACATTATGTACCACATTTTGCTGTATATAAAAATGACTGCAGATTCAGCCCTATATTGTTTTTTCAAGTTGCTCGTGACTGCAGTGACATTAAACACTTTACTGGTGTCAGAACAATCCAACCACAAGAACAAAATGCATCCAAAGTGTACTGTAGTGGCGGGTGTGTCTACATGGCCAGGCGCTTTGATGGGAGTGTTGATTTCTACAGAGGCTGGACAGAGTATCAAAAAGGATTTGGTAATCCAGAAGGAGAATATTTCATTGGCCTGGACAACCTTCATGGTTTAGTAACTCAAGGGAACTATAAACTCAGAGTTGAACTTACCATGTGGCCCCCACAGAGTGAAAAACGTCATGCTGAATACTCCGTATTTGATGTGAGTGATGAAAAAGATAACTACAATCTGACAATTGGAGGATATAGTGGAGATGCGGGGGACTCACTAGGCATTTACCACAATGGTATGCCATTTAGTACAAAGGACCATGGAAATAGTAGAAGCGTTTGGTCAGGTAGAACAAGTTGTGCTGTTCAGTTCAAAGGGGCTTGGTGGTATAAACAATGTTATCATTCAAATTTGTTTGGTTTATACAGTACTGGCCCTAAGTGCCAAGTTCCTGGTGAGTGCGCATCATGGAACAATTGGCCAAACACAATTGGCACACCTGACAATGCTAACTATTCTTTCAAAAAGATTGACATGAAAGTTTGTCCAAAATAAAAGTTTCCCTCCTACTCTGATATGATACACAATGTCACATACAATACACAAAGGACATTTTAATTGGGGCTAAGGGGAGAAGAACATATTGGAGTGATTAATGACTTCTGAATTTGTTAAATGACCTCCAAATGTACTGTAGAAATATATAGATTGAGAAGTTGTTTATTATAAGAATCATAACAAAGACTTTTGATTCTATGATTTATTCTGCACATTCAATGCCACTTCATTTGTTAGAAAACTCAGATTTTATTTTACCTTTATCAGACTCCCAAATATGCCATTTTAATCTTTTAACAATTGCAACAAAAATCAGCTGTCATAAATTAGAACAATTAATTACGGAATATTGGCTTGTATAACTGTAATGACTACAAAAGTTAAAGGAAATAAATTAAATGCAACTTTCAAGAATCTTACAAGAATAATATGATGATGACACCAATATCCCTAAAATATGGCTTAAAATAAATTCTCTCATTGTAGCAAGTTGTTTTATTTTATATCAGCGGACCAGTTTAGTAAGTTTCAATTTAGAACTGTTGAATTTTATAACATAGCAAAGTTTCTCTGCATAATTCAATTACAAAGCAAAATTCCACAGTTTCAGTGCCAGATGTCTACACAACTTTCTCTTACCTTAAGTTCCTCAACTTGACCAGCTATATGGTGCATCACCTTTTCTCCCATGTATTTCATCCCATATGGACCTATCAGCTCTGCTAGGGCCCTCAGCTCTACAATCATATCCACATTTCATTTTATGTACAAGTGTACTGGTACAAAGTATATGTAAAATATAAAATGCCCTGTGGAACACCACTATATATAGAACAGTTTTCAAAGAGCCAACTAACACTGATTTACAGGTTAACGAACCTCTCTGTAAGGAACGCCTGTCTACTTGGATATACAAGGACCAACGTTGCACAGAATGATGAGACTTCCATATACATGAACACATATATTTCCATACATAAAATGTGTAGTCTTGAATTTTCAAAAACCTCATTTAGAATTTCCTAAAGCTAGGATACATCCAAACTCCTACAATATATATACAAACAACATACCCATGATATCAGCAAACTCCTCTGCACTGAATGGGTTCTGTGGGTCATTAGTGATACTGATGAATGCTTTCTGGGCTGGGGCATAGATACAATGACCCAGACTGACCCTGCGGAGCAATACCTCTAAATACCTGCAAGTAAAGATATTATATATTACAATGAGGGACTTTTGAAGGTGCTTTAAAGTTAGCGCAATATTACTCAATAAAGTAAGTACAATATTGACACAGGATAGCATTTCTATTTTGAGGTCCTAGAATTTTATGAAAAATATCTGCCAACACAAACAGATCTAGGTTAACAAATTCAGACTATATATTATTGATTCCATGCATTAGCCACTGAATTTTTGAAATTCATTCACCAGGTAAAAGGTAAACCTAAATATGTAAAAATCCAAATATGCTAATAGGCATTGACATGAAAAAGTGTCACTTGTACCTGGTAAATTATTGCAAAGGTTAAAAATGTGTAACAACAATGATACAGATAGTGAGTGGTGGTAACATTCCTCAGTGGTAACATAACTATTGTCTTTAAACAGAATACTTTACAACAAGCCACAGTAGCAATCAACATTTGTACTTCAGTGTAACAATTCACTTACCATGTAGTGTAGTTAGATGTGATTGTCTTTTCCCCATTGAAACTGTCATTTGGTTGAGTCTGTTGTGGCAAGACATTGTTAAACACCCTGGCTATGTCAATGTGGACTGAAAAATAAATGTGACACTCATAAACATTTACCATGCAAAGTTCAACATATTTGAAATGAATAAATATTTCAACACAGTTACATGTACCATGTTGTACAAATTATTAAATAAGGAACATGAATTCAGAGTACTGGTAAATAATTTCTTTTGAATATAATTTATAAATAGGGTAGTATTATGTAGCTCTGTAGTACATTCATGACAGCCTTGACACTGTTCAGAAGTTCTAATGGTCTAGTAAACTCTGTGAACTTACTGTAATTCTCAATGCTTTGTAGTACATTCATGACAGCCTTGACACTGTTCAGAAGTTCTTAGGGTTTAGGAAACAATGTGAACTTACTGTAATTCTCAATGCTTTGTAGTACATTCATGACAGCCTTGACACTGTTCAGAAGTTCTTAGGGTTTAGGAAACTAAGTGAACTTACTGTAATTCTCAATGCTTTGTAGTACATTAATGACAGCCTTGACACTCTTCAGAAGTTCTAAAGGTTTAGGAAACAATGTGAACTTACTGTAATTCTCAATGCTTTGTAGTACATTCATGACAGCCTTGACACTGTTCAGAAGTTCCGATGGTTTAGCAATCTCCTCGGTGCCAGGATTGTACATCATCATCCCAACCAGCATTCTTAACATAAAAACAAACATTGAGAGTTTATATTGTAAATGTGCAAATACTTTATACAGACAATATAAATCAAGCTTTATCACGCTAGACTTAGATGTCTACAAGCACAAAATGGAATCAGAAGGGAATGAATATCAGAATGTCCCCTTGAAAAAAAGCACAAGAATTCCATGTTTTTAATGACTTAATTTTCTCATATTGAAAGATTTAATTCTATGAACATCCGAATCCGAGGACTTGATATCCCATCAATCTGAACTTTCTACTGCTGATGGTCAAAAACACATGATATTGAAGAACTGATATTGAACAGTGATAGTAATGAATGGATTCATTTGGAAAAGCTTTCAATATTACATACTTGTTGAATCTTGCCTCTAGGTGCTGAGTGAAGAACTCCCTAGGCACAAATCCATGCTCCCATACAGTAATGACACTGCAGTAGTTGGTAGCATAGCACAGCTCTGTTAACGCCATGTGGAGTTTATCCATTCTATAATATACAAGCAAAACAGAAGGTTATTAAAACTCAACACTTAAGTCAATAAAACATCACAAATTATCATTCTCAGGACACTGCCTGTATGGACATTATTGTAACACCTAACACACTTTTTACTTAAAGTGAAGCTAATCCAAAAGAACTTATTTATTTAGTCCTGAACATGCCAGTCTTGAATTCAACTTGATTCAATCCTAAAAATATTCAAAAGAATCAGACATGATCGAATGCTTGGTTCAGTCCATCGGAAATCCAAATCAATGCATTTTAAATCTAGAGAACAAGTAATATTGTTTATGTCTTAAGTATGATATATATAATTCACTGCACCTGGTAAGTTCCTCTCTTGATTTTCTCTGACTCTCTTTACCAGGGGGTTCAATCTCTTGTATCTGCTTTTTCCTGTCTCTGTCTTTCTTCCCTCCTGACCTCTTCACAAAGTTTGATATTAGCACCGCAGAGTGTTTTGGTAGGAGCTGAAACAACACAAATGTAATTGTTAATGAAACACATATTACATGTAAGCACAATTCACTTAAAATTCGTGAATAAAAGACTTCAAATCAATTTTCCAATGCATCTTTTGTGAGATGACCTACCCTGTCTTGCATCTGTACATGCTCCTCACATATTGCAGTTATCACCTGGTTAACCTCCTCAGCCATTTCCTTGAGGAACCAATGGGCATACTGGACACAAGTTGTACCAATAGACTGCCGCTAGAATATAAGAGTAATATACATTGAACATCTACTTTCGTACTATTTAAAAGGTTATTTCCATGTTTTGCATTAGGTAAACCTTTGTATAATCATGAGCTTTACAAGATATGACATTGAACCTCACTGAAATCTTCTGGGACCTGTTTAGTGTTCTTATCTAGAGCATTAGATATGAATTTGACCTTATTGGCCCCCAGCAGGTTCAGAATTTGAGCTTCACTGAAATCCTATAGGCAAAGATAAGACACTGTTAGACCATGACTTTCAGTTCAATCATCCTTAACCGTTGATGGCAACTCTAGGGCAAAGAATCATTCTCAACAAACTTGAAGTGGACCCTCAGAGTACAATTAAATCTAGAGTATAACCTTGACCTTTACTGATCTCTTCAGGGCAAAGTTCATGTGTAGCTGACATAAAATGACTGCAGATCATGGGGAAGGCGATGCTGTATCTATCAATTACATATATAACCTTGACCTTTACTGACCTCTTCAGGGCAAAGTTCATGTGTGGCTGACATAAAATGACTGCAGATCATGGGAAAGACGATGTGGTATCTATCAATTACATATATAACCTTTACTGATCTCTTCAGGGCAAAGTTCATGTGTAGCTGACATAAAATGACTGCAGATCATGGGGAAGGCGATGCTGTATCTATCAATTACATATATAACCTTGACCTTTACTGACCTCTTCAGGGCAAAGTTCATGTGCGGCTGACATAAAATGACTGCAGATCATGGGGAAGGCGATGCTGTATCTATCAATTATATATTATAACCTTGACCTTTACTGACCTCTTCAGGGCAAAGTTAATGTGTGGCTGACATAAAATGATTGCAGATCATGGGGAAGACGATGCTGTATCTATCGATTACATATATAACCTTGACCTTTACTGACCTCTTCAGGGCAAAGTTCATGTGTGGCTGACATAAAATGACTGCAGATCATGGGGAAGGCGATGCTGTATCTATCAATTACATATATAACCTTGACCTTTACTGACCTCTTCAGGGCAAAGTTCATGTGCGGCTGACATAAAATGACTGCAGATCATGGGGAAGGCGATGCTGTATCTATCAATTACATATATAACCTTGACCTTTACTGACCTCTTCAGGGCAAAGTTCATGTGTGGCTGACATAAAATGACTGCAGATCATGGGGAAGGCGATGCTGTATCTATCAATTACATATATAACCTTGACCTTTACTGACCTCTTCAGGGCAAAGTTCATGTGTGGCTGACATAAAATGACTGCAGATCATGGGGAAGGCGATGCTGTATCTATCAATTACATATATAACCTTGACCTTTACTGACCTCTTCAGGGCAAAGTTCATGTGTGGCTGACATAAAATGACTGCAGATCATGGGGAAGGCGATGCTGTATCTATGCTGGGCAGGGAACTCCAACACTTGGCGGAACTGGTGCTCAAACAATGATGTATAGAAACTGAAAAATTAAAAATAATGACAATCATTTTATATTTTTTCAATTACATCTGGGCCAAAATGTCAACATAATGCATAAATTACTGAAATACTTTTTAAGATATGATTGTACACAGTGAGATTATACAGATTGGATTATACAGTATGGGTATATCTTACATCCTGAAACAGATGTATCAAATTTTGTTGATGATGAGAAAATGACTTACCAATATATGGACAAGTCTGAAGTCTCATTAAGGAGCTCATCTAAGAAATCAGCCATCTTTGTGTGGAATATGACAGTGTTCATGTGTTGTGCTAAGTTAGCATGATCAGTCAATGAAAGGCCTGCCTTACCAAGACTTGTGTATGCCTGAAATTAAAACAAACATTTCAAATGTCACAATCTATTTTTTGTCATTTTCAGCAAAATGTTATAAGGACCTGTATTCCCATTATGAATCTTTCATTGAATACCAGTAATATAAAGATGGTGTTTTCAACATTCATAAAATAACTGACATTAGAAGATATTGTCCAATGGTTCCAATGGTTAAGCAATCCTGCACTTGCATTGAAACTTATGATATTAATGTACAAGACACAATATTATGTGGCTAAAAAAAATCCTTTTTTATTATTTTTTTAAATTATTATTATCATAATCATTTAGTATTATATTAACATTAGGTTGGCACTCAATACCCATAAAAGGGTATATCAGTGCTAAATCAAAAGTTGAAAAACATAAAAATATATTACAAATATAGTATGAATGAAGCAAGAATTACAATTTATAGATAACATCCCAGTTCACGTTATAAAATACGAATTTATAAAAAATGCCTGCACATAAACAAGTCAAAAGTGAAAAATACAAACATTAATGTACCACTAATTACATCCTGCATTTTGATTGGTTGATAACCATTCTTTATTTTCTGTATCCTTCTCAAGATCATCTAGTATTTACTACTATCTTACACACCTGCAATCTGAACCAATCCATGCGTATATCTCTGAAGTCAAATATTTCTGCCTCCTCCACTTGTTTGACAGACAGGGACGTCAACTTGTTGTAGAATGATGACAAGATGATGGACTCTTCCTCAGGACAGGCAGACAAACTCTGAAAAAAAATTAAAGAAATATTTTTTCATTTGAAATTAATGTTTTCTTTTTGTTTGATATAGTTCACAAAACAGAAATAGTAACTCAATATATCAGGATTATGTACTTTAAGTACATTTTATCATTAGTCTGTTGAAAGGGTTGTAATACTGAGAGTAAACTGTAACTTTGCAGCCTATTTTAGATGTGCTGTAATTTCTGAATTCATTTTTAATTATGTTCTTAGAATCAGAGAGCATCATGAACACCCATCCCAGTAATTACATAATGCAATCCGATTATGTAACCAGAACAGATTCATATCCCTGAAGGACAATTTTAATGAAGATTTGAATTCTGAAAACTAATGTAAAATTTTTTTTCCATACCTGTACTATATTGTTGAGTTCAATTGCATCATAACCAGCCAAGTATTGTACATAGTATCTCTGCATAACCTGGTTGTATTTTTTCACTAGGGCTGAAAAAGTATTTTTAGCAAGGTGTCTTAATATATACTGTATAAGGCTAATATTGTATTTACTACAGCGCATAGGGCTCAGAGGTGTTATGTATAATGTAATCTTTGTTAAAATTAATAAAATAAATTATTGGGTCAATTTCTTGTGGCACTGTCAAGTTATTGATCTTCAAATCAATTATTCTTTCTCAGATTTACTGAATATTTGGATATCAGGTTAATATGCAATTATTTACAATTATTTTCAATTACATGTATGTAAAAGTACCTCTTAATTCTTCCATGTGAAACAACAACTCTGGTAATTGCCTACAATATAAATACATGTATATGTAATTCAATGGATCAAACATAGAAATCTGTGAATTGATTTTTGAAATATCACTTCAGTACTTATTTGTTTCATTTTGGTAACTGAGAGCAGTAATTGTGTCATAGCAATTATCAGTCATGTTTGTAGCCATATTATATTCTAATAGTTTCATGCTTCAATTGTTTTCCTATTGATCACATCCGATTCATTTTTGAAGTTATTGTATCATCTTATATCTTTAAAATGAAAAAAGTACAAACAAAATGTGGTTTGGTCAGCAAAATAGCCTTACAAGCATACAGCAGAGTGACAAAGTAGTGAAGTATTCCTTCTTTGGAAAGTTTCTTTTCTTCTTCTAAAGTTATCTTTCTAGAGTTATGCATTATGAACAGCATAAAATCTTCTTAATATACCGGTACTTATAAGCCCATTGTCTCATAAGCCCATTGTTGGCTGCTTGGTTTTTACAAACTCCATATTAATTGTAATATCATTTTAAAACTCGTGACACAAAAATGAATATCACAAAATTTGAATATTATTTACAAAACTATAGCAGCAATTTAGCATTTCATGCAATGAAACTATGTAAACATTATTCAGTTATAAATCTACCTGTCCACATAGTCTTCAGGAATGACTTTAACCTTACGACTTCCTGATGGCTGGTTCTCAGAATGCCTTAGCAGCCAATGGATCTCATCACGGGCAAACGATAATGCCATGAACAAGTAAAGACCCTGGTGAACACAGGAATAGTGCAGAGAGATGGAATAATTGGGTGGAGAGGGAGGGGGGCTGGATAGTAATGTTGAATGGTGGTCTTGAAATTTGTGCTCCCTTCAATTGGAAGATGTGATAAATGGAAAAAAGCTTTAACTTTTGTCCTAGATATGATTTGAAACTTGGAACATATCACATGACCACCATTTCTTTTAAATATAAGGAGCGTATTAAAGCAATCCCATAACACCCAGGTCCATGCCAACTTTCATAGGTAATTGGTCGATTGGAGGTTGGTTGGTGCTAGGTTTCATGGGATTGAATCAGGTCTCCTCCTTTCTGTGTTAAGAGGTTATAAAAGCTCAAGGGTTATCACAAATCAAAATAAGGAGAACAAAATCTACAACATGGTTATGAATGCTCTCCACAAGAGCAATGTTGGATTCATTCTTAAGTAAAAATTGAAGTACAAGTTCAATTTTAGCAAGACAAAAACTAGAATAAAATGGATGTTGCACCTTTGTAGACTTTGTTTAACCTTCTACAGTAAGCAGCATAAATGAAACTTCGAATGCTAACTGCCAACTTTCAGATGTAATGAATGGAACATGAGCAAAAAGCTTATTTGTACCATATACATATGTGTTACCATATTTGACTTGATGCGTCATGAAACATTATTCCCAATTGGCCAACATTCATGACTTTTTAAATTATTATCAAAAAAGTATTTCAGCAATTAGCATACACACTATGAAGACATCTTCAAATAAAACTGCATTTGGGAATCTTTTATGTTTAAAAATATACAACTTCTTGTCAAATGCATCTTTTAAATGATGATGTTAAAGCATTTTTAACAAATCAAATCAATCGGTGCATATTCAATTTCTTGGCCACATATTACAAAAATAATCAAAAAGAAATGTAGTGATGAATACTCTAATTTCAAATTTGTAATTATTATCCGAGTGTATGTAGCCAAGAGATTGTAAATATAAAACGTAAACAGGGTGCATAAACACAATGGGCAAAATACTTGGTGCCAAATGCTTCCAGGTCAATTCTCAATATTTACATTCTCCAAGTACAGAACTAGAAGTTATTTCATTACAAAAGGCAATGTAGCTCTGAAAGTTGGAGAGTACAATACTCGTTTTCTTGGAGAAATGTTCAGATCTGATGATTTTGGAACCAAGTACTTCTCCATAATACTTTTGAATTTTCAAAAGGCAAATAAGGGTCAGCAATAAAGGGAACTTCATCCAACTTCCTACAAAAAACAGAGGGTTTAGAGAAGAAAAGTTTCCAGTGACTGGTAATAGAGACAGCTACCAGAGCCATAGGACTAATATTCACCAAGAGGGTCCGGGATGTAACATGGAGTTGAGATTCAAATAGATTGGCAAGGACTAGGAGTGCATAGGGGTGCATACAGAAAGATAGTCTTGGATATTGAGCTTCACAAATCTCCCCAAACTTAATAAAGCACTAGAGAGAGGGGCTGCGAGTGTGAATAGGAAGAGAGTTTGGTGGCAAAATTGGGAGAATGCAAAATGGAAACTTTTCATACTGTGATTAATGGTTACCATGGTTACCAAATTGTTAAATAAGCCAAACATGGTTACTACAGCAACTAATATGGTTGCTATAACAACGAGACTGACCTATCCTGCAAATCTTCAATACGGACTTTAACTCCTCTACTCTTTGGGATCAATGAAGCATTATCTAGATGTCTATACATCCAGACGACCTCATCCCTGGCAAATGATAACGCCATGAATAAATAGAGAGCCTAGAATCAATGAAGAATGCATTTAGTTGTTTGGAGACATGCAGCATATTTATTACAACAGTACATGGAAATCACTTTTCTGAATTTTATGATCCTAAAATTCCTCTAATAAAAAGGCTTAACCTGAAAAATGGACCACAAATAGACTCTGACACAGACCTTTTAATAATAAATAATGCAATTTGAAAAATTCCCCGAGAAAAAAGCGAATCAATATAATTGTAAGGGGTGCAGACGCCTCTTGTATAAATGCAGCTTAATATACTTGCAAGCTATTTTCAAGCTTTAGTACTTTCAGAAAATAAAGGTTGTATTATTAAGTTTATTGATATAAGGCTGTTGCGACTTGGAGAGAGATCAGAATTAGAGACTAACCCCCTTGAATAAAATTAAAAATACCATCATCTACTTTACGCAAGATTTATTTTTGAAAATTTAATATCAAATTAATTAAGTCTAATTTTTCTTTTTTTTCATATATTGTATGTGTAATTCTTCAAATTCATTAAATGTTAACAAGGTCAATTACCTTAGGTCCAAGTAGACCGGGTTGATCTGCAAATATGATGGCCAGTTCCTTGAGTGCATTACGTAGGAACTTTCGCCTGTCTCTGTGTACTACTGGGCTAAAATAGAGTCAGAACTGAATATCAAATTGAACGTCACATACATATGTTGGAAGAAAATATGTGGAAGGTGTAACACCTAATTCTCCACTTATTGGTAGAACGATTTGATCATCTATGTATTGCCTGAGGTCAAAAGTGTGACAATTTATTTGAAGTGTGATTTTTTGTGATAATTTTTTTTTTCATTTGAAAAATGTGATAATTTATTTTTATTTGAGAAATGATAACTGACTGATTAAAAGGGTGATATTTCTATATTCTTAGATTGAACATATTATAACTGACATCTTACCTTTGTTGTACTGCTGCATGGTAAAACTCTTTGATTTCTTCAACCCGTTTCTTTGCACTAAAAATGAAATTGTCAATGTACAGAGTGGGCAAGGAAACATGTTTTAACTAAATTCATGAAGGGCATATGAATTCCAGCCCTGTGATGTTAAAATATTTCCAAGTAGTGCAAATCCTTCCCTTCATTCCAACTCCATTTCACTTATCACATGCCTATGTAATGTACAGTATACAGTGCTACAAATTAATAAGAATAAATGTGAATAAATATTTACTTTTTGTTTTCGCTGAAGAACTTGATGAGGTAGTCATGTGTTTGGAGGACCTCATCGCGACACAAAACATGGACGTAGCCTCCATGCAGGGCCATCTTCCACATGTCATAAGCCTCTTGGTACCTAGATGGCTCTAACAATGGGGCTGGGCATACCATGAAGCCGACTACAATGCAACAGGATAATGTGAGAAAAAGTTTTGTGATTGTAAATGTATTTATTATATAGAGTCATCTAAAGGATAATGAGCTAAAAACATGATCTTTCGATTACTTGTTGTGTACTATTACAATTATAATTCATCAGAGGAAACAATAAAATATACTTAATCTTAACTATCTCTGTGTACATTTACTTACATATTATCCATCTTTCAATGGTATCCAGGGAAAGGTATTCACATGGCATCTACAAGTAAAGGAAAGGTAATACAAAAAGTGTATACTCCACTAACATGCTTTTGGAGAGCAGTACAAACTGATACCCATTATACTTGTACTACATACATACAAGTACTATATCCTGAAGATGGATTTTTCGCTAATGAGCAAAGAAATTATACAGACATTATCACTTTAAACATGAGTGATGTGTCGTGATATATTCATCATAATTAAATATTTCTTACTATGAATTGTTAAAATATACAAATATATTTCACTTTTTCTCGAGAGACATAACTTTGACGGACTCGTGTGTTTTCATTAAACAGTAAAATAAACATTAAAACAGTAAACCTAAGGCTAAAACTAGAATGTGGTTTTCACTTTGAAACAAAGGGTGAAACACGAAACTATTGGGAAATTTTAGAATGAGCTTTCTATTTAGTAGAAATTTAGTAAAAGCATTGAAACTATACATACACATCTCTAGTGAACTTTGTAAAAATATGAGTATGAAATGGGGAGGTTAATTGTGTAATATTCTCATTCCTTATGATCTATATATAACAGACTGCTTGTGAATGAAATGGGGAGGTTAATTTTGAAAATTCTCATTTTCATTTGTAATTAAGTGAACCAAATTGTCAAAGATTAATGTTGATTATGTGAGAGTACAACGCATTCAAAATTGAGCCCTGGTTAAATCTGAACTAAATATATGTACATTTGCAAGCCTCTATATTATTAATAGTCCAGCCCTTATTTGTATTATCTGTAAATAAAGCAAATGTTCCTAGTAAAAGCTAAATTGTAAAATAGCTTCAAACTCATGCAAAATGTGGTTCACCTAATTTCCATGTAATGAATGCATTCTAATTCGATATTAATTGACTAAAATAATGAAATATCTAATTTTGTTGCCTGCGTTAAAACATGAGAACCTTTAACGGAAACTATAAAATGAAACCAAGGTATTCAGAAGCACTCGGGTAAAATAAAGCGAATGTATAATCCTTTATATAAAATGAAGAAAATGTACAAGTATAGGTATGTGAGTATCTATAGTAACTGATTAGATTTTGGGGAAAACAAATAAAAGACAAGTAATCTCATTTAAAAGTAATATCATTCTGGTAAAATTTCTAGAAAAAATCACTTTAACCATATGAATGACATGGTAAGATCGCACTTCAAAAAAATAACATGCTGTAAATATAAAACATAACCCCCAAAACTATGTGAGTGTTTTTTCTTTGAATTTTCAAAAAGTGTAAAGGAAATAGATGGGGATATATCTAACTGACATATAAAGGATTATACAAAATATGCAGCTAGAATCGACACTTACACAGTTGTTCTATGCGAGGTTGATAAAAACAATCGTCTTGTTAGTGCACAGTAATAACATCATTCAACACAGAAATTTCTACACGAACATGTTGTTTGCCCCATGTCTAAACTGTCATCTTGTCGAGTCTAATTTAGCAACATTTCTTTCTAAGTTTTGAAAAATCTTCAGATTTTATGGCATTGCTACACAACTTAGAGCATATATTATATGCCAGTTTATGTTTTTCCTTGCCTTTTCTTTCTATTTTGCAATTCTAAACATGACCAAGATGACAGTTCATTTACAGGTGTTTACAGTGCATTAAAATAGCAAGCGGAATCGTTGCAATGCTTGCTTTGTAAATGTTTTTTAAAATGCAAAATTAATCTTTTAAATTAACAAATACAAATGTATGTTCCAAATTAATCAAAAATAACATATTGACCTCTACGTTATTATCATAGGTGTAAGGAAAACAGCGAATTGAATATAAAGCAATAACAATTATTCAAACGTCATCAAATAACTGAATAACACATACTATAATACTTACTGTTTCACTCTGAGCGACATTCATAATCTTAGCTGGTTCACAAATCAGACTCAGCATTTGTGCAGATCGCCAATTTTCAGCTTTCAAGTTACGTCTTGGATAAACCATGAAGAGAGACATGAGAGCTTTGAGAACACACTGAAAAATAGAAATAATATTTGCATTTTGTTATTTTATCTAATGGAAACTGACATATAATCAAACATTATTTTGCCTACTGTTGCATTGGATTGGAGATTTTTAAATTCTGCAAAACACATGTAGTAAGAAGAACAATATTTATAAGAGAAAACTTCAATAGTACCGTTTGATGGGGTATGAATTCTTCTGACATTTTCTTAATCGGCATCTCATAATCCAGTATCATCTGACCCAGGCGCGGGAATGATGACTCACTACAAAAGGATATTATTTCATATGAGATATAACTACATTCTTTAACTTCCAAACATTGAAAGATTCGAGTAACTGTTGAATTCACAAAGGCTTCACTAGACAATATAATAAAAATAAAAACTATGTGTTAGCATTTCACATTACACATGGCTATATTTTGCTATAATAGGCCAAAAAAAGCTATATGCACACTTAACTATGTGTGAATAGGAGATGAGATTTCTTTCAGATCTAAAAATCATGTAGTACGACTAGAAACAATGTTTTGATATCTCTACTTACATATTGCCATGTATGAGCTCATAAGCAAAGTTGAAGAGGCCTAATACGCCCTTCCTGTCATCCACCCTGGATACCATGATCATGATGGCGACATATGTGGCAATGAGGTCAAGGTAACCCTTTGTAAGGTCATAGCACAATGACTGGAAAGGTAATATGTAAACAATTAGTGATCATTCTGGTTAATGCCACTCTGGAAAGATCAAGACAAAGGGACGTGGTTATAGCAATGATGAGTGATGGCTCATATAGTTTTGAGAAGGTCTTTCAGTTACACAGGCACTTAGCTCTAACAGTATTTTACAGTAATTCAGAGTGTGGATTGGGGATTTAGTATTGTGTAGCTTTGTTGTGTTACTGCAGACTTGAAAAACTGTGAGTTTTTTAATTGCTGAGAGTCATTGCAGACTGTCAGCAGTTTACAAATGTCAGTTAAGTGATTAATACATTTCAACAGTTCAACTAAATTCTTAAGAAGTATAAACTATAGCTGAATACTGTACATATTTAATTGAATTGAATAAGAAAGTTTTAATCAGCAACACACATGTGAGCTAAGGATATAATTGCTTCCATTTTTTTATCACTTACGATGTTCAAATTGACTTGGCAAGCATCAATAGTGGTTAGGAGGTCAACAACGTGATCCTAAAATGAACAAAAAACATATGTACTACAAGTATTGGTAATACGGCAGCCTAAATACTCTGTCTCACTCAACAGTTTATTCAGGGTAAACTGTCTCAGGATACAATTTTAACATTTGACTGCAAAAGTAGTCTTCAACTATATTCTTTACACTCCTCACTATACATTGTCTTTAAAAATTCCAACATTTCCATTCAAACATCCTTTGCATTTTACAGAGAGAGAAACTACGATACTACAATAACAATGAACCTGCTTTTGATCATTGTAATTTATTTTAAAACTTGAGTGAAAAATATCTCTACTGTAGAATATTCAACCTACCTTGAAATCCAGTATATCTACAAATGTATAATAATAGAGGGACAAAGACTTGATGATGTCTGCTTTGAGAGAATTAACAGATGACACATGGCTCTGGAAAACAAAATACAATAAATGTACAATAAATACAATAAATGTACATCATGCAATACAATATACATAAAATGAAATAAAGGAAAATTAAATATAATCTCAAAATTTCATTAATCTCCAAGGCATTAAAACAAGTGGGTGCATCAACCAATCAAGACTTTGAAAAAAGGTTTGCACCAACTTGAAAACATATTTGCATCAACTCAAAAATATGAAAATTGGTATATATTCAGGAAAATTTGCAAAATAGATATTGCAACCGAAATCCTGGTGAGAATACAAAATCGATCTATCTAGCAATGAATTGACAGTTATTATGGATCTATTATATTTGAATCTATTACTAAGAGGACCATGACATAAATATACACTTATTGCACTTATTGATAGGGTATTTCTACAAGTATACAATACATACACTAGTTTGCCTAATGTCAATATTAGGGAACTTCTTCATAATAGACTTCAACACTGGCTCCAGTGACTTGTCTGCCAAGAATGAAGGCTTTGATTCATTGTTACTCAGCATCTGGAACAAAAATATATAACAAGAAATTAGAACTAAGTCCAATTTTGAGATATTGAGATATATGTATATTGAGATATGTACCTCATTGAGATACATAGGTGCCTGGTGATGATTAATGGATAGATAGAGGTCATTTTACATCCCTAATAGATATTAGGTCTTAACTGAAACCACAGAGCTCCGACCGTCATTGACCTCGACGGTTGGTTCCATTGGAAAAATTGTTCAGTTTGGTTTTTTAGTTGAGGGGAAAATTACTACTAAAAAATGACTTTTGTAAAAATCCTTGATGAAAATTGTGAAAGTGAAAAATGCAGTGTTATCAAAGACGCTAATTAGTAATATTGTTTTACATTCTTTATCATAGCAGAATATAATAGTGCAATAAGAACTGAGAATAACCGAACCGAAAACAACTGAGAAGGATCAAACCGTAATTTTAAACTAACTGATGCCTAGTAGATAAGTGACATGACAAATGACCTCAAAAATGTTAATGGAATAGTGAAGGGCATTTCATTTTCTTCATTCCTGTTGAATTTCCATGTTAACATACAAACATACATTATACACGTAGCAACATGGACCCTCCACTTTCTCCAGTAATTTGAGGAACAGAAAATATGTGTTGTCAGTTATGACAACAGAATTATCAGTCTATATCCTAAAATCTAATGGCCTGGCTGGTATGGTTTTGGGTTTTAGTGAGGCTCATTACTTATCCAGTTTGAAAAGTTTCGTTATTGAAAAATGTTGCAATAGTTGCATATGAAATGTGAGAAAAATGTGTAAAATAGATAACATGCATAAAATGTACTTTAACGAACTATATGAACCTACCAGAGTATATATATATATTTGATTTCTTAGAACATATTATCGCTAGTCTACTAATAACTATAATGTTCTATAATCACACCGGAATAGCCTGACAACAGGCAAAATCAGATACTGTTGTCACAAATGGTGGACATAACCATCGCTTCAGCTCTTTAATCACTTGTTCCTCGTTTCATGGGATTTTATCGTCGCTAATTCTGTGCATGTATTAAGCTCTTGTGATGATGTATCATATGGAATCCCAATATCGATCACATTTGGTCGTGAATTGCAACAATATAGCGTCTTAATAATGATATCATCAGTGACAACGGAATCTGAATTTGAAATAATTTACAAAGACAATGGCATATGGTTATACAGTGTCCATTGTCCCATATCCCATTTTGATCAGTTAAATTAAAAACTTTATTTTGATGGTAGAACATTATTAACTGTACAATGAGTATAAAAACACTTTGATTGATTGTTGTTCAAAAGGAATTTAGTCTAGGTGCTCTATCAAACATACAGTTCATGAAAATCTAATTGAAGGGACAATTATGTCCGCCATTTGAGACAAATGTATCTGACTATTCCGTTGTCAGGCTATTCTGATGTGATACAAAGCTTCTATACATGTATCAACTAAAGAATTTAATTTTATATGTACATTATATGCAGGGTGTTATATCAATACTTTTCATAATGACATTATTTATTGTAACCAGCATTTTTGAAATTCTCTCCACACAAACCTTTAAAAACTTTATCATCAAAGGTCAACTGGAAAAATTGGAAACCCACTGTTAATTAACCTAAGAAAGGTGTGTTAGGCTTCTATGGTGACAAAAAACAAATATCCCAAAAATAAGAAAAAATTAGGATCCCAAGGAACCATAATGGTATCAATTACCAACATATAGACTAATAGACACTCTTGGAATAAACATTGGTACAGACAAATGGGAGACTTCATTTGTCCCAAAATTATATAATCTTATTGTTATAAAAAACTAACACAGGATACAACAACTGCAAAAACTAAATTAACTTTTAAGTTTAACTACTAACTATATAAACAGAGCATTGTAATATGAAACAAAAGCATAAATATTATACAATGTTCAACTTACTGTAAGCTAAATATCCATGGATACATAGAACGAAAGAGAATATAGAATCGTGTAAGAAATAGAACATAAATAAACTGTATAATACAGAACTTGGACATGTAAAAGAGATCGAATTTCAAGTCTGTGTTAGACTATATACAGGGTGTCCGGAAAGTAAAGATACAAACACTCTAATTTTAAGAGATTTAGGTTTTTTGTAATGAAATTGCTACAGATTGTAGAGGAACTATATTACAATACATCTACCAACTTTTATAACATATAGTTTAAACGTGTTAAAGTTACGATTGCCATGGTTACGGTGGTCAGGGGTATGCGGAGCAGTTCCATGATATCGCTAAATTGTCATAAATTGCTAGATTTTAACCATTTGAAACAGTGTTCATTATAGTATTAATATTTCCTATCAATATTTTGTTTTGTTCAATATTGTATTCTTGCTGCCATAGTATTCTCTTAAGTATAATGATATCACTGATACATATCAGAACTATGTAATGTCACTAACCAGTTTAATCAAAGGAACATTATATCAGTGCTTAGAAAAAAGGTCCCTGGATTTAATAGGAGAGTCAATGGTGCACCTCCATAATGCACCAATTCACAAAGCAAAGAAAGCAAATCTTACAATTGAATGTCTTGACATTAAACCTTTTTTGTAGAATGGCCCATATTACCCTGATAATGTCCCGTTGGACTTCTACATTAATGAATATCTTAAAGCAATATTTGTTAGAAGTTCAACATGAAAATGCGACTCTGCTTGAAGCCAATTTTAGAGATTCAGTAATCTGAGAGATGGACAGCAGCGGTTTTGTCAGGTCCATGAATCTCTGGTCAAGATGCACCACAAATGTTTAGATAATGTTGGGAAATACATAATACTGGATAACAGTAGTAATGTCAAATGACCAAATAATGTTACAGTACTGCTTTTTTGCTGTTGTGGTACATAATTTGACAGATGATGATGATGGAGTGTCAATTTTGATGAGTAGGAGAAAAGAATTAGAAAACATAATTTTGACGCTGCTCCACATACCCGGGACTGCTGTAACCATAACAACTTTTTCATTTTGAATTAATTTGTCATCACAGTTGCAGGATAAATTGTTTAAATGTCATTCTACAATCTGTAGCAATTTCATCTCACAACAGGTAAATCTATTGAAATTAGAGCATTTGTATCTTTACTTTCCGGACACCCTGTATACATGTAAATGTATATATGAAGACAATTTTCCAGAACATTAAACAAAGTCATTTTCTTCATGTATATCACTGTCACATAACAAGGTTTTTATATACAGAAGTATGTTTCATGCTAAACATACTTTGAATATAAAGTAGAAATTAAGAAAATAGCTGTGGAGTCATCCTCCCCCTCATTTTGCTTTCTTTCTTTAATTTTTATTTCTGAATCATGTGTCATCCCACAATGATGTTATGAGAAAGTAGCAAATGAAGGCTATATATTTAAATGATTGAGGTAAGCGATATGAGTATAGTAGAAGTCCATTTCACTTTTTCTCTCCATCAAGCACATCTTTTTTCACATTTTTTTGAGTCACATCTAAGAAATAAAATTTTGAAAATTAATGTGACTGACTTATTTAGAGTAAATAGTCATACATTTAATCCTATATCCAAGACAAAATAAATTAAGTGTCAAAACTAAGTGTTTTCTGGTAAGTTCCTGAAGTTTCAATATGAAAAATCACGGAACACATGTGAAATTCAATTCTTGGTTCATCGATTTTACTTATTGGCTCTTTTTTATTTGAATTTGGTCTGAATATTAGAGCAACAGCATCAGTCTAACTGTATCAATTGATCAATACAGCAAACAACTCATGTTGGGATTTGTTAAGAAGATACATGGACCTCTCCCCCATCATCTATATTCACCCTTGGTATACGCAGCTAACGAAAATTGACCGGTACGGGTCAAAAGCTGGACCGGTACGAGTTAACGGTTTTATTTGAATTTAAAACAGCCATAACTTGCTCAATATTGACTTCCTCGTGTCTAATTTGAAATATATGATGCCTCCCGATGCTTTTAAGTACCCCAATTTTTTACAGATTTTTAAACGGACCAAAACTCTCTAAATGCGCATTCATGCTCTTTTCTCTCGAGAACGACTGTCTCATTTTCACGATAACTTTTATTTAGTACTTCTAACATATAAGATCTATTTTTCCCCATCAAGGTATGATGTAAATGACATGGTATTTACATCTTGTGAGTTTCAATGACGCGTGTTTGATTTTATAAAAAAATGCCAAACTTTGTGACAAAGAATTTCATCAGCTATTGCCCCGAACCGGTCCATCTTCTCGCTGCAAGCAGATTGTCCCGAACCGGTCCGTCTTCTTGCTGCAAGCAGGATGAAATTCTTTGTCACAAAGTTTGGCATTTTTTATAAAATCAAATGCGCGTCATTGAAACTCACAAGAGCATACAGCATTTTGGCAAGAAAAATTCCAATACATGAATTTCCCAGGGATTTTTGACTCCTCTCATATACGGGCACTCTTTGTAATGGGTTACAATGGGAATTTCAATTTCAAAAGCGCTGTGGGCGCTTACTACGGTGAATACGGTATATACTTCCCAATAATGTCTAGATACACATCCCTTAAGTTTTGTATATTTTACATTTTGTATACTCTCAACTAATGTATGGTCACTTGAAAATTATCTTCTTTTTAACATGCGAAATCCTCACTTCTGCAAATCCAGGTATCATTCATTGATGATGAGCACTGTAAGTATTACTTTTTGCAACTAAAATCAACTTTTTTCACCAAAATTCAGTATACTGATTTCAAAATATGGAAGGCAGCTGAAGAATTAAAGACGAGAAAGAGAAATCTGAATCTGAAAAAATAGGCTGGGGAAAATTTCCCAAAGATGACCTTTGCTATTGGCACGTTCGATAAACAATTTTATAAACAGGCCTCATTTGCCATTGAAATGGATCTCACATGGAGTAACTTCATTAGTATTACCATAGTTTCGAAATGATGATGTTGAAATGATGTTAAATTGAAATAACTCCATTTCCATGATTTTGAATTTTACTTCGCGCATGCGTGGCACTGCAAGAGCATGTGCTCATGATTGTTCATGTGATCACATCCTGCAATTTGATTGGACATCAAATACTGTAGCCTTGCCCAAGTTGGTCTCTTTTACTTATCTTGATTTCTATGACTGCCTTGTACCAATGAGAAAGCCACGTGCTTAACCGACTCAATGTTTATGTCGGTAAATTTGACCAATCAACAACGGCCCTGCAACGTTAGCTCATTATTATGCACGGTCAAGACAAGTACACTTTTCAAATCCTCCGGCAAATCTTCGCACGTCGTGTCCTTGCGATCTTGTCAATCAATAAGGTTTCACAATACCCCTGACAGCATAGTGATTATGGAAATCTCGAAACCGCTGAATAACTTATCATAATATCAGCGATGATGCAGAAGTCGAAAAAGAATACAAAACAAGTCTAGAATTTCCACCCTACCTGCTTAACATTTTCGAAGGTAGCAAAACAACGGGGGTGAGTAAAACTGAGCAGTGTAAAATCATCAAAGATAAAATCAACAATCTGAGCAATAAATCTGTGATTGTATTCACTGACGGGTCCACTCTATCAAATCCAGGACCAACAGGGTCAAGCGCGATTATATTTCTTGCCGGGACCAAATCTGAACCTGTGTGCTTGAAAAAAGCAATCAGTGTCAGAAGCAATAATTATTGTGGGGAAATACAGGCTTTGCACCTTGCTCTAGAATTCCTGCACTCTATATCTATTAACAACCACGATATTCACATCTTTGGTGACTGTCAACCAGCCCTTCTTAGCACTTTCAGTAGCAATAAACCAAGGTCTGAAATTAAATGCATTGAAAATTCCAGGTTTCTGGTTTACAGATTGAGCGAGGGCGGCAATGTTTTAACCTACTACTGGGTCCCAAGTCACTTAGGAATTCACGGCAATGAATTAGCCAATACATATGCCAAGGAAGCAGCAGCGGAAGCAGCGACACTGCCCCCATCCTCTGTTAAACAAAGCAAAGAGGAAGTATATAGATCTATAAAGAAAACTGCCCTAAGCAAGTGGCAGACTCTATATGATAACTCAACAAAAGTCAAACACATTAAGAAATTATTGAAACTGTAGGAGTCCAAAATAATCTGAATGAACAAAATCGGTCTTACTTTTGTAAGATAAATCAACTGATTACTGGACACTCCAAGCTAAACGATCATTTGTCTAAGATACAGACAGACATCTCAAACCAATGCGAGCACTGCAAATGTGCAGAGACAGTTCACCACTACATTTTCAATTGTAAGAAGTTCTATGATGAACGTGAACTAATGCTACATAAGGCTGAAGTGAAATTACTAGGGATTGAAGGGCCCAAGCCAAATATAGACTTAAAGATTTTGACAGGCTTTCATAAAGCACTTAATGAAGCACAGAACAGAGATATGAGACATTTCTTAATGACATATCTAAAGACAACTAAAAGAATCTAACATTAAAACAAACCAAGAAACAGACAGAGACTGTTAAATATAAGTACAGATAATGACTGCTGAGAGAGAGAGAAATAAATAAATAATATGAATGTAAATATGAATAATGAATGACACTTTGAAAATCTGCGCAACAAGTGAATAAAGTACAAGAGAAAGTACATAGTGAATATATACAAAAAGCACAAGAGACTAACTGCCGAGGAAAAAGCGGCTTATGCAACACAACAACAATTAGAATGTACAAGGCGGTAATAATTCAAGATCAGTGTAAGTAAAAAATACCGACTTGAGTAAGGTTACAAATACTGGGGAATCCCCAAATACGATAGAATATGAAAGAATTATGGTAGCTTCTCACTTCTTTTGGATATAGGCTAGCCTAAATTTTGGGAAAAATTTTAGGCTAAAATAAATCGACCAACCTTTTTTATGTTGTAGATCCTGGTAAGCATTCCTATACCCCTATCATTTAGGATCGTCAGCTTCTCTGCCAGCTTTTGCTGGCTTGACATGATTGACCTCGCCATCTTAGCCACAAACAGAAGCAAAAGTAGACAAAATTAAAACATTTCAAACAAGGAAGTTTCTTTCCGGAAGTAGCTAAAATCAATTTTCAGAACGAGGCTAATTGGGCGATAATTAAATTCGTTTTCATGGCGGGACGAAATCGGTTAGTATTTTATTGTACATAGCCTCATTCGACAATTGATTGACAATTAAATTACAAAGTGATACTCCTGAATATACAAGTCACTTCATCAAATCAAAATATTGCTAAAAGCTTCAGTTTTAATGAGAAAGAAATGCATGTAAAAAATGAGTTTTTCAAAATTTTTTCGAATTTTTTTATTTTCTTATGCTAGCCTCGTTATAGCCTAGTATAAAGCACAGGAATTCGTTTAGAAGATAAAAGTGGTAGATAGAGCAAGCCTTGACTCAATAAGCATATAAAAGTAAAAAGAAAGCTATCCTCGTAAAGTTACCACATTTTTGATCAAGGCAAAAAAATCCAGGGAAATGTAAAAAATATTCATACTGCAGCACCTCATTGGTTAGGTTAAGCACATAAATGCGATAAGATGAAGAAAATTGTGTTCAGACGCCTAATAGTGATATTTTGTAAAAAAAATGTGAAACTGACAGGTTTTTTCGAAAAACATAATAACCTCTGTTTTGATAATTATTTTTACCGATTACATTTTCCTTTTCTGACGTTATTTTGTCAGCTGTGACTTACCCTATTTTCCAGATCATTCACTTATATTGACAACTTCCTATTGTTGTTGAAAATTATATCTATTTCCTTACGAATTTTACTTCTGTTTCAGAAATATCCATCTCAACAAAACCATCATAACGTCACAAATATTCATAGATTTGGTAGATGTCCTATTGATTCAGGCATTCAGTCTAAAATTTCTAAAAATTATTGAATTGTAAAGAATAACATGTACAGTATATGCATCTTTCACATAACATGTAAAATGTATTTTCAGGTCAAGTCGTGATCTTTGGCAGTTTATTGCAAATACTACTGTCCAAAGACCAGAGGTAAAAATATTTGTACTTTCTACACCTTTAAACAAATAGCCAAGTTAATAGTCTAATAAAGGCATTAGATCTAGAGTCCATTTCACTTTTTCTCTCCATCAATAAAACCTGACATGTACAAACATTTAACAATGTACAATATTAATGTATTTTTCCATATAACAGTGCACTTTGGTCTTTTGATTGCTTATCATATTGGTCTTATTGATGAAGAAAAAGAGTGAAATGGACTGTAGACTTTCAAACTAGCCTGAAATATTCCAAATAAGGAATGAATGAAAATCTGCAAATTAGCCTGAAATATTCCAAATAAGGAATGAATAAAAATCTGTTGGAAGTTGTGTCTATAAAGTCAAAAAGAAAATGGAATTGTTTTGAAAATGCCCCCTTCACCCCCATCAATACAAAACTTCCACTCAACGGGTAGTTCAAGAATTTTAATAAAACCTTGTCAGTTGGAATATTAGAACTCGATTTAGTTACAAATGAAATTTATAAACATTCAACCCTCCAAACTACTAAATTACTTGATATGGTGGAAGTAATTCCATGTTTTGATCTTGATATGTGTTCATTGTTTTAGGTGTTGATTAGTACAGAGATCAAAGATCACCATGAAAAGATACTAAAGGGTCTGTCATCATATCAGAAACCAAAGTAAGTTGACTTGGAAATAAACAAGAGTCCCATGCCTATGGGTGTTTTCTTAGAACTTTTCTCAACAAGTAAACTAAATAGTTAAAAACACAAACAAAATAACTAGAAATATTGACATGGAACATGACATTGCAAATTTCTTTTAAAACAACACATGGTTTTGGTAAAATTAACAGAAGAACATCACCGTTGCCTTTTGCTCACTACATATAAACCCCTTCATTTCTCAGCTGAAGAACAACCTAAACGATCACTGAAATTTTGGTCTGCCTGTCATGGAATGGAAGCTGGCCATTCTTAAATTCATATACAGCACTCTAAAGCTAGTGATTCACAAAAGATATATCATGAACATACGCCCCTATTGTGAACCCCACAATCATGTTGATAATTAAGCTGAATGGTATAGTATTGTTTTTTTCATTATAGCAAAGCTTCGGAGGACAAACTAAAGACAGAGAAACATGTGAAAGGAGACAGATTTGAGTTCTTGAAGAAATTGAGCAGATTTATAGTAAGTGCATAAACTGCATAATAAATTGACGGCAAAGACTAGAAAGTGTAAATTATTTGAAGCAGTAATTTAAAACAGAATGCTTATATTTTCCTTATAATCCACATTTTATTACCTGAAAAATAATAACTGGAATAGCTGATCAAATGTAGATCTTATTGAAGAAGACAAAAAAATATCTAAATTAGATTTTAAATTGTCAGATAAATGTAAAAATCCGAAGTTTTATCATGAAACAAAGTTATAACTAGGCTAATGGACTTTTAGATTATAGGTTCGAAATGGAATGTTTTGAGCATAACTTTTATTTTACATACCATACTTTCCATTGATGATAACTAATATCTATGAGTAATTAGAATTGGCTGAAATGGTAATAAATCGTAACATAGGGCATAGGCCCAATAGCTCAGGTAATTTTCAAAGGACTCCAGTGCAATTTTTTTGCTAGGTATTTGAAGATGTATTATTTACATGAACTTTAATACAATAACGATTAACTTTTTGTTCTTTTTTTAGAACTTGAATGAAGTACAGTGCCATGATTTATTTAACCAGTACCTTCTGAGAGAATACACAGGATCACACTCAAACCTTCAGGTAATTGGTCAATCAAATATGCCATATTCACAGTGCTTACGCACTCAGGGTGATCAAAAATGAAAAATGAAAATACCTAACCAACGTCATTTGGTCAATCTTTCAAGTCGGCGCTTATCAGAGCATAGGTATTCTAATAGGGTGATTACAGTATTTCATCTAGGTATGTATTTCATCTAGGTATTTGGTTCTCTTTAATTTTTTTTTCACTCTGTAATATCATGCGTTGGTAACATTTTATTAGACGTTTGTCGTATGTAGAGGAAAAAAATTGATGTAAAAATTCAGAAACAGTGCACACGACATTTAGTGAATTAGCAACTCCTATTGAACACCAGTCCCTGTTGAACACCATTTCTGGTATCACACTCCATAGTTAACATATCACTGGTGAATGTTGACAAAAAAGGACACAAAAAGTTTTTTAGCTGATATGAACACAAAAATTCAAGACAATTCTCTTTTTAGACTGTGCTATCAGATGACCGTCGTGTGCAAGGTCTCTTGTTGAAAGTGAGGGATTTCTACCATACTGACAGACTTTACTTGCTATGGTGTCTTAAATCCATATTATGTAACTGGCAAGATGAGGACCATCCTTACAGGGTAAGAAAATGCCAATTAAATCAAGTGACTGTATGTGAGTAACCAATTACCACATTTTCTGCTACTATGTAAAATTCATTAATCGAGTTGAACTTCCATTGATTTCAATAATAAAAAAGCAATTATTTGTGGCATTTTAGATATACTAGATACTAGCATTTAAAACATGTAAAACAGTGTTTAACAAAATATTAACTGTTGAATTTCAGGTGCAATATTTTGAGTTTGTAGAAAAGGCCAATTTGAGGGATGAACTGATCAACAGTATTCTTCAGCAGTATGACAATATCACTGCCCAACAGGCCCCAACATGGGAATCACATGGACAGCTGATGGTAAGCAAATGTGTTCTTTTACATAAGCCTAAGTGTTCAGGAGCACTTTTGAAATTATCATATGTTAAACTTGCCCACTTATCTATGCCCCATTTTATGGGCTAATCATTTAATCCATCCATAACCATTACATTGGCATTTTGGTTTAAGTGTCATAAAGAATATGAAAAAATCCCTTGGTTAACTGTATTTTATTTACTTGCATCAAGTTGATATGACTTATTATCATTCCATCCTCAAAGACGTGGTTAAACCATTGAAGGCCACCTTCTCTATGGCCCAACCTGGTTTTGCTAGATGCATACAATACAACCCCACTCTTCATGAATGAAAAATGTTATATTTTTCCAGACTGAGGTTCAAGTGGAAACCTGGATTATGCAGAACTTAAGAGAGCAGTTAGAAGTGCTGAACCTGGTGCTATTGTTTTACAAAGATTTTGAACATCCCCCAGACAAAGTATATGATCTCTTGATGAAATTCAAGGTAAATAAGCTAGAGACCATTCCTAACCTTCAATGGTGCAAAGAACTTTGATATTTGTAAGTAGTGCTTGTTGTTTTCATCTGATAATTAGGATGCACCATTTAGATGTTAAAGGCTAAACAACTAAACAAGATTTGAAATAATGAATACATGGCTTTCTTGTCATAGGAATTCAGTTTTACCACCTAAACTAAGCAGTATTATACACAGCCAATCTGCAACAGTACTGTACAGTACCGTTTTGGAAATGGGGGTGTGTGAAATTGGGGGTGTATGAAATTTAAAAAAAACAAGGAACATATGGTTCTTCTGTTGTATTAATATTGTGGGATAGAACAGTTACATTTAAAATCAATGACTTTAGGATAAAACTTAAATGTCTGCTATGTTCTAATCATGCTGCAAATAGTACAAAGCTGTGGAAGTGAGAGCTTTGGTAATACAGTAGTACAAAGCATGAAGTCATTGGCCAAAATATGTCCGTATTTTATTACGATTGATAGAACTTGTCACATGTTGTTTTATTCTCACAATTTATTATGTCATCTTTGTTTTTTAACATTTTATCAATTCAATGTTCTATTTATCCAGAGGCAGGGCTTTGGAAAGAGACAACACTACCGTAATCTGCTAAATGAGCGCACAGAATCGTTGACCAAGAGAATCGGTCATGCTCAGATACTGATCATTATCCAAAGTGTGGATTTGGAGTACCTGAGTCGCAGCTCAGCAAATGATCCTCACTCACAACCTCTCTTACAACAGCATCCAAAGTTTAAGGTAAATATTTAGAGGGTTTATTTATCGGAATCTGCCATGGCAACTTGGAAACTAAAGATTTTACATTTATTTGTTCAGTTAAATGAATATCCACATTCATTATGTAGGAAAATGGATGTATTATTGTGCTATGAATTTTAATACACTTGTCATTTAGTAAGATAACAGATCTTTTTGGAGATGATTAAAATGGTTAAGAATACTGGCTTATCAATTGTACATGACTTGTTTAATATTATTGCCAGTCCTAAATCTCTGATTCTGCTTTAATTTATAGCAAATGATATACTCACCATCAATGATTGTGAAGAAAATACAGTACAAAAAACACTTATCATGATTGTGTATAATGTATCTCTTATATTTCAGAGCCTTGACCAGCTGTTCTGTTCACTTGGGGATTACCCCCAACATGGCCCTCTTCTCATCACGTGGTCCATAGTGAGGCAGTTGCTATCACATGGCGGAGCAGCGGGGACCAGGAAACTAGGAAATACAGCCCTTCAACTTGGAGTATTTGATTACATGCTAGAACTTGTCACATCTGAGCCCTTCAATGGAAATACAGTAAGATTTTTGTACTTTCATAAGTTCACTGCTTTGGTCTATAGTTCTTTTTAAAGTGCCACCACCACAATTGGTGATATATTGTTATACCCTTAGAAAAAAAACAACCATTTTTTCCGAATTTCAACCGTTATAAACCATTGCGTAACCATTGAAAAACATTGCGTAACTATTGCTGCAACCATTTGAAATGGTTTCCAACCATTGCATTGCAACCATTAAAATTTGGTTGAAAACTTTGGTTGCATATCATTGAAAATTTGCAATCATTTGCAACCATTACAAACCATTGACTTTTTCAGTTGCATTTTACCAAATGGTTGCAACTATTTTCAACCATATTGTGGAAGTTATTTAGTTTAAGAGAGGGATGCTTTAAAACATGAAATACATGTATAAAATGAAATGAATGCATGATGATCTTTCAAAATATTATTTATTCAATTTAATGTTCATAAAACCTTTTCAGTTACAGTAATAAAAATTGTAAAATAGCATGTAACAACTGCCATTTTTAGATGGCCAATGTGTATTTGTATTGCAGTCACCACCCAATATAATTTTTTTTGCTTTAAAAGATATTAAATATGTTTTAGACGACCTGATTAAAATACTGTTAAATTGATCAAAATTGGACGATGATTCTGTCCACATATACCTAAAGAGCATGGGCATAAATGTATGAAATATAAACAATTTTACAATAAAGCAAACATTCAGATCAAAATATCAGTTAATCATGCTCAAATGTCCATGGAATTGAAATTCCCATCAATTTTCCGCCATCAACTGCTTGAAGGTACATCTTACTTTGGAGTTGTGTCAAATCAACGAAGGTGGTCAATTCTGTGTTTCTGGAATTATATTAAAAGAATGTATATTCTGATGAACAGAAAGATTGAACAGAAGAAATCTTTTATTTTGTCTTCATTTTGTCTAGAATGCTGTTACCATGGTAACCAAATTATTCTCATTGTAATTTTTCAATTTGTCAATTTCAGCTATGATTACATTTTGAAATATCTTAAAACCAATACTAACATGCATTGCTTAAGGATTTAAGTCCTGGGATCAGTGCATTGTGGAATGACCATTTTTTGAAGGTGTTGCTTTCTAAAATTTGCACAAGATGCGGAGCATTGGGTATTAATTTTAATAATTTTAACAACCACTGAAAGGTGCACAATGCATAGGTCCAGGCTTATTTGTTTCACACACTACAAAATATTATCTAAAAAATCATTTGAAAGATACGAAATCATGAAAGAAAAGATTTTCAATTTAACTTTTTGCAAGGGTTAAGTTTGCAACAAGTTGGCGGTATCATTTTTAATCTGCAGACTCCAGTTGTCACCTTGACAAACATTTACTTAGTGACCGTGAGTTAGTTACTGTACCTATACTTAATTTGGTGGCCGTTTTAATTTGACAAATGAAGCCAAATTCATCAAAGTAAGCCGCCACCACATTTCCTGGTAATTTTAGTACAATTTTAATTGGTACCATCAGGACATTGTAATATTGCAAGTCTGTCAAACTAAGTAGCCACCAAATGTTCAAAACAGCAAATCCGCCAAAATAAGTAACACCAAATTAAGTAGAAGTACAGTATTGGTTATATAACAGAATGTGACTAGCGTCTTTTAATACCTCCCAGTAGATATCTCATGTATTTACCTGACAATCATGTGTAATCTAGTTCTTGATTCCACTGGTTCCTTCTGCAAAATAGCAACTTCAGCAGCAAAATGTGTCACCTGTCTGTCTGTATGTGTAACCCGTATTCTCAAGAACCGTTGTATTATACAGGTCCTCCCATCTTTTGGTTTGGCCCCATGGTTAATTCTCTTTGCAGACTAAAATAAAAAATATTATATCTTTTGACCCAATGTCCTTTCAAGCTATTTTAGCTATTTTACCGAAGTTATGCAAATGGTGAGTTTATTGAATTTTTATTTGTTTGTTCAAATGCTAGGAATGTTCTCAAATTATTTTAAAATGTTTGCTCTTATAGATGTTTTGGAGATTTAGAGGTATCTCAATAGATGAAATAAGAACTTTCATAGGATTTCATCTACAAGAGACCAAGGCACAAAAATGGACCAATACAATTCCTTGAGCCAAAAATGTTGTTCAATGTTTGAACATACTCATGAATAGGTAGAGAGGTAATAGCCCCTAAGACTTCTATGCAATTCAGCATCACTCAGTAAAAATACTTGTACATACATTGAATGTGACAGACCCTGGGTGACAGAAGAAATACAGAACAGATTTATTCAACAATAATCTTACCCTTTTGTGACCTTGGGCGATAAAGGTTTTCCTGTCTAGTTGAATTTTGTGGAACTCCTCGACTATTATAACATTGTTAGTGAGTCCCCCCTTCCATTTTTCCAGCTCTAGACCCAATTTTTGGTCCACCTCCACAAAGGAATATTTGTCTTTTCTCGTGCATCCCTTAAAAATGTGTTCTAGGCCATACCTGAAATATAAGGATCATGAGATGACTAATCTGGGTTATCAATTTTATACGTTACAATTGAAAAGCAGCAGAAAACTTTCTCCTTAACTCCTTAACTAGAAATCTAGAACTTCATGGAAATCTACAAAAATAGATATTATATACTTCTATAAAGGAACATTGTCAGTAGCATTTGTGGTAGGTGAGAACTGTTGAAAATGATTAAAACAGAAAAGGAATTCATATTATGTTTATATATTTTTGTTCACCTAATATACATTGTATACTGATCTTGTAAGAATTAATAAAAACAAATACCTTTCCACCTTTTCCTTTTGTAGTACATTCATCACATCTTCATTTGTAATAATCTTCATCATCGTCTTCATTCGTCGCAAGGATCTTATTGCTGTCAGAATCTGAAAAGATGCATTGAATATGAAAAATGCATGCAGAACCAAAAGGAAGAAGGTAAAAATAAACAAGAACAACTAGTCATCAGAGAAGCAAGACCAAATTATCACAAAATATGATCTGACATGTAATGAAACAATGGTTAATACCACCTCAATAATTAATCTAAATTCATTAATATGGAAGGTCTCTATATGATAACTTTTCTAATTAACAAAATTTATTTTGAAACAGAATCTGATGATCAGGCGTTTCTTTATTTCAGAAAAGGAAAAACAAAAGATAAAATTGGAAGAATTTGTAAATATAGGAAAATGCAAGTAACTTAATAAATATAAAAGTTGACTTCATGTAATCTTTCTGTCATTTTCAATTTGAGTTTTCAAAGTTAGTAGATAAACGGACCTGTAAAGCATACTGATTCGGGCTGTGAATGAGATCCATAAAAAAGCCACAATTGCTCTCCCCTGCGAAGCAACTTGTTCCCCACAGAGGTCCTGTCTGTATTACACATTGCTTATAATGAAGTAAATTGTGAACATTGATTGTCATGCTTGATTTGCCTGAAAAGAGAATTTTATTTATTATAATGTTGTCTGCACTAGAAAGCTACCCATGACATGATAAACACATAAGTCCAGCAAGCATAAATAAGACAATGACATCTATGAAATATAATCTTGAGCATTTTTGTCTTAAATGTATCATGCATGATTCAATTGGTCAATCATATCTTAAAGTCAATCTTATGTTTGTAGATTGTAATGATAACCTTCAATTTGAATATGTATAATTTTCTGGAAATCCTATGAACTTTCCAATGTGTCTATTTCTAAGCAAATTGCAATTAAATTACCATAGTAGTCTTCCATAAGAAAGACAAACTTCTGCATTAGTTGATCGGCCTTAGCAAGGTCTTCTTGGGTCACATTGTCTGTTGTCATAAGATATAATCCACTAGACAGCATTATAAAGTGCTCAAAGAATTCATCCTCCATGAACCTCTCCAGTATGATTGGTCCCCAATACAAAATGAATGCCTTCAATTCATTAGCTGCAAAACATTTTAAAACACAAAATACACATTTAAGGATTTAAGCACTGGACTCAGTGCAATGTGGAATGACCATTCCTTGAAGGTGCTGCTTGCCAAAATTTGTATGATATGTGGAGCATCAAGCGATAATTTTAGGAAACAACACCTGAAAAAATGGTCATTACACAATGCATTGACTGTCAGGCTTAAATTTATTTCTAAAATTGCTAAATATTTTTTTAAAAAAATCTAAAATACACAACATCATTAAAGAATATATTTTCAATGAAACCTTTTGCAAGGGTCAAGCTGGCAAGTCCAGTCATCATCATGACAACTGTTTAATTTTTGACCTTGAGTTTGTCATTGATTACATAAAGGAATGTGGTTACGTGAAATAGCATATTCTGATTGGCTGAAATTGGACACAACTTGCCTAGCTATATGTGAATTAATTTATAATAGATCTATAACTGTGAATGGATTGGCTAGTCAAATAAGTCATTTCTTATTGTGGGCTAAATGTACTTTATGTTTGAAAATGATGTATTGTTTTTTACCTTTCCAGTCTTTATACTGATCGATAGGTCGAGGCATTCTGGAGAAGTCATTTGTGAGGGTCACCTTTCCTATCTCTTGGTTTATCTCATCTATGTGATGTCCAAGAAAGAAATCCTCGTTCTTGTATTTGGGGTTCGTCCAATACTTTAATAGATTTTTCCCTACACCAATGAGGGCTCCATGCATGTAGTCTATGGAGACGATATGGTCCATATCACAGTGATTTTCATACAGCCATAAACCACTGTGGCCCTTCACACCATTTACCTAAATTATATAAATATGCCATCTTTGTATATTTACAATGGTGGCCATTTTGAATTGAGTGGCCATATTGAAAATTTCTTCTTGAGCAGAGGTTCTGGCATAATGCATAAGCATGTAGAATTGAATCAAATCTGTCAACATGTATTCGAGTACCCTGCTCTCTTTTAAGAAGTGAAGTCAAAGGAATGCAAAGGTTAGTATGTGAGTTATTGTCTGGACTGATGAAAGAAAGGAGGGCTTCTCTATATCCCTATGAAG